TATAAATGATCTTAAAATCCTCTAAAAATTCTCTAAAGCTTTACAAGAACATGCATTTCTATGTTTTTCCCGGCGTGCCCTCACCTCCTCCACTCCATCGGCTCCCTGGGGAGCTGCTGGGCCAATGAGGTGTAGAGAGACGTAAACAAGCCCTGGTCTCCAGCACCTGGGACGAGAGACAGAGCGCATTCCAGTTAGGACAGACACAAACACTCTAATAAAACACAACTGCTCCACATTCCTAATACTCAAGGTTTCACCGTAAAGGGACATGGAGACATTCGGGCAAAAACTCATTATTAGCAACCATACGAATGTAAATACAAATACAAACACGCAGCCCATGAAACACAGTGAATAGTAGCAGAATGCCATGAAAATGGTACATACGAACAAACAAATACTTAACGTACTTAAATGAGAACATTTAAGAACTAAATGAAGAGCGGAGATCTTTTTCTTTACTCTCCTCACATTCCACCACTGTACCGACTTCCTCACACTCAACAAACTTGGTGAAGAACTGGATGTCCTCATAGTCAGGGGTCTCAAACTCAAATCAGCTGCGGGCCAGATGCAGCCCACTTCAACCGAACGCGGGCCAGACTAGCGTCCGAACGGCATGGTCGACAATAACACAACTTAACACTCACTTTCAAAAGCAGTCATTGAACCCCACCCTGGGGGATCGGTCCGAATGAGACTACAACACTAGTCCTCCTTTAACTCAGCGGGGGAGACCTAAGGTCATGTGACCGTGGAATTCCTTTATAGCCAAACGTGAAGTCACGTGAATCGAAGCTGCGTAGTAATGGACGGAGACGCTCGTCAGTGACGTCAGATGATTCATGTGTTGTTAGTGTGAGTCGTAAAGGAAAACTTTATTAAACAAGCGATGCTAACGGTTAGTCACATGATCACCTGCGCGAAAGAGGGCAGGAAACTGAATTTCACCCTCCTGCTCTCTGCACCTCGGCCTACACACGACCCGCCCCCCATGTCAGTCACATGCATGCCACGTTCACTGGACAAGCACACAGTAGGAAACCAGAACATCATAACATGTCCCACACAGCAGCTGACAGTGGGGTTACAGTATAAAACTTGCGGGCCGCACTAACATTACACTTTCATATTAAGGATGGGGCCACAAAATATCGTCCCGAGGGCCGCAATTGGCCCGCGGGCCGCGAGTTTGAGACCCCTGTCATAGTAGTTATTCTCCTACACATCACACTCCTACTCTTTTACGCCCGAGCATAGAAACCCAACCAACAGGATGTCACACACTAATGAGCTAATTGTAACGGCGGCACCCAATGACATCCAGTGGGAACATTCCACTCACAACTGAACAACGAGGTTATAAAATCGGCGCATGTAGCTCTGTCTGACATTTGCTTCCTGCCGTCGCTCCGCTTCAAGGTGCTCAATGTTTAAACTGTGAGGCTGGACGGACCAATACGGTTTGCGCCCTTATTCCATCGCCGCCGTATCCGTGCACAGAGGATGCACCAATAGAACAATAAGGATGCAGTTCAGCCCTTGCTGATGTGCTCTAAAGCATGTTTGCATGCTCCGTTGTTCAAAGGGCTCCTCATCCCGTGCGTCTGAATATATCTGCACTCCATATGAGTCGGCATCAAAGATGGGACAGACAGCCGGGACGGACGGCTGGGCCGGACAGACACGTCCGCCCGCTTGTGGAATCACGGGTTTTCCAGACACACAAATATGTACGCATAAGATCTAGGAGAGTTTTACTATATTTCCCCTTGCAAGATCAATACAATAAGTATCTATGTATCCATCTATTTAATATCTTAATTTGTTAATATAGTTTGTTTTGGGAGGCTGCACTTTCAAAATGAGACTAGGACTATGAGATGGAGGCGTAGAGGTCAAGTCCCAGTAGCAGGTCCGGCCTACAAATCCTCGCCGAGTTGGTGACGCGGCCCCCCGCTAGCGGTACAATCCCCCGGCTCAACAAAAAAGTGACTTCAATGTCAAAATCCGTCTAATCTAATCTCGTACGTGACACACAAGGTGATCGTTTCAGTCACACCGGAAATGAGCCTCATCACGTATGAAGGTCCTTTAATAAAATACCCCACGAGAACAAAAACAGGACTAACAAGTGAAGTGCTTTGCATGTGCAATCGTCCTGCAGCCTTTTCTCTGAGCCGCGTGATCCCGAGTGATACGTCGTTAATGTGTCCGTGTGCATTTAGTTTGTGTTACAGGCCGACTCTCCCCAGTGTCGCACCGAACAAACTTAATGCGCACAAAGGCTTTTTATCAAATGCAGGCCTGCAGCGCAGACACCTGACATGTAATCCCTGTGAGCGCAGCGGGTCACGCGCAAAGTGTCAGGTAGGAGTGGAGGTGCGACACGCTCATCCTCCCGGCAGGATGAACCAGGAGCCATACAAGCGGACAGAGAAGAGCGTCACAGGCTTAAAACCTGTTTTATAAGCATATCGATGTGTGTTTGGGCAGGTGCTCATTTCTCAAACCACACCTGTGAGTGACATGTACGATCTAAAAGGTGATTTAAATCAAGAGATGTCCTGACATGTAACTGTCAGATGCATCAGTGTTACGTGAACTCTTCCAGGGACCATTGCTGAATTATACTCATTTCTTTACACATACTTTGCATTTCTGCATGTTGGCCAGCTTTACAAAAAAAAAAAGGAACCTTCCTCCTCTGAAATCCCAAAACAGATTCCCTGCACAAGAAAGCACCTCGAGTGAGTGTGCTGGAGAAGGCAGCTTTCCCACTGATTCAGGACTGAATCCTGCATCGCTGCACACTGTGATGACACGACTATCCAGGGAATGTGCGGATTAACCTGCAACCCTGACTGACCGCGTCGTGTCGGAATCCATCATCAATGCAAACCGCACACACCGGGGACACACCTGGGAGACACTGCGGGGCCGACAGGTCGGTACCCGGACCGACACCGGAGCAGCCCGCGGCGTGAGACGAGGCTGGCAGCCACTACCAGAGCCGGCTCCTAAAAATAACCCCTGCAAGAAGCTTCCACGAGGATTCCAGGGGATTTATGAATGGCAAGCTGACCTCACCGGTCAAGTGTCATGTGGCGAATGCTGTCCGAGCTGCTGACGGTGGGAACTGTGGCTGTCCATCAGGGAACAAGGTGATAGCCGCAGCAACTAGCTATGACGTTATCTGGTTAGCCAGGCCTGTTCGTCAAAGTAGCTACAAGCTAGCCGGGAGAGAGGTGCCGTGTCCCGGGTGAACATTCGCCACAGACAGCGTCGCTGTGTGCAAGTAAAGGGACTATAAAAGCCCGGACAGGTAGACATTAGACAGAACTTTGTTAAGACAACACGCAGTGTCTCAAAGCGGGTGAATGTGTGCACCAGCTAGCTTAGCTCGGCTTAGCGAGCTATTGATTATAGCTAGCAGGCTGACTGTCAAGACCAGAGGAAATAAGACTGAACGTCTGCTTTTAAAGAACACTCACATGTCACAATCGGCTTGTTTTCCATAGTATAGATGATCGGCTTTTCCTCTTGACACTCCATGTGTGTTAGCGGTGGTACTCCATGGAAATTATGTACAAACCGAGCTTTATTATTAGCAATTGCTTATGTATGCAGTTGTGTTGAATCGATGGGGCCTGTGTCACAGCTGCACTTCCGGGAAGTACGTAGCCTGCGCGTCATTAAAGGAGCCGCCCGGGATTTTTCTGCTCCCCATTACAGGCGCTTTGATGGGTACAAGTACAGAAATCCTCATTACAACAAGGTTCTCAATGGCGGAATGTGAAGTTAATTAAGGTACGTTTTCACTTTTCAATTTTATTTATTTGCACAATTTAATATACACAAACGTAGCAAAGATTACAAAAGACACAGTGCAGGAAGAGGCAGTGAGCAGGTTGGGCTTATTTGAAGCCTCCACCTAAATACTATTGAAATATTATAGAGAACAGTGAAATGTATGTAGAGTAGGTGATACAAAATAACAATACGCATCATGATAAACTTTATTATCTCCAGGATTTAAATGTATCTGACTGCAATAAGGCAAATAAAATTTCAAAATGAAAATAATATTTTAAATGTATATGTGTGTGTGTGTGTGTGTGTGTGTGTGTGTGTGTGTGTGTGTGTGTCTATATATATATATATATATATATATATATATATATATATATATATATATATATAAACATTTCAAATTATTCATTAAATTCATTTTTAATCCAACACATATGAACAGATATTTATCAGATAAGACATGTTGGAGATAATTATGAATGAGGAGATCAGGTTAAAGTAGTAATAATGTAGAAGACTGACTGCTTAACAATGTAATGTTACCGTGCTTCATGAAATGGAGTTATTACTGTGCCTGGAGGTTCTCTTTTTTTGTAAGGGGGGGCTACTTATTTAATTGTGAGTTGGTCACAGATTGTCCCTTCAAAAGTTAAAGAGGAGCTGTTTCAATGTTGACTGTAATGTATCTGTGTATTTTCGTGCAACATAATTAAGACAAGTATGAGAAAATAACCCTGTGGGTTTCTATTCTGGGACTCATGTTATAAACAAATGCATATAGTTTTATTTGCAGAATGAAAATTGTTTCTTGAAAACAATGTATAGCTGTAAAATCCAAAAGGTCCCTGCAATTATTTATAAATCAGTCACTTTAAGACAAATGTTTTGTACTCAAGATGGTCTAAAAGCCCTATTATCTTTTTGGGATTTTTAAATAATAACAAAATAGTGAACGATAATAATCAAATGAATAACAATTTTCATTTTGGATGATGGACATAGACTTCTACCTTGGGGACACAATGCTGCCATCTAGGGGTTTAAAGTTGTACTGTGGAAAGAGTGTGTCTGAAAAGCTTTTCAGTATTTTATTAAGATATCCACTTTTTCGGATCACTTAGTTGTTGTTTTTTTCACTTTCACTTTATCTTTCTGCTCCATCTCTACATTTTCTGAGGCCTTCTTCAACCTTCTCTCTCTTCAGATTCTCTCTTCCCACATGTCTCTTTCTCATCTTTGTGTCCAATGTCAGGACCATCTCCTTTCCCAGCTTTGTCATCTCCTTCCTCTCTGTTTCTCCCTCGGTCAATCTCCCCATCGTCCGGCTCTTTTAGCCCACATTTATCTCCCACCACCGTCCTCACATCCTCTTTAGTGCTCTCTCCATCTCCCTCTTTGGTCACGTGCCCATCCTCTCCCTGTCTCTGTTTTTCCACCTCTCCATCCAAACCCTCATCCGCCTGCCCCTCTGCCTCTTCCCGCTCCCATCCCACCTGCCCCCATCCCACCCCCTCACCTCTCCCCTTTCCTCTTTCTCCTTCGTCAACAGCAGGCAGCTGCAGCTCCATGGCTGCCACTTCCCACTCCAGCTGCTCCACCCTGGCCTGCATCTTGCGGTGGCTCGACTCTAATTCCGACATAAGTCGAGCTAGTTTTGTTTGCAGGATTTCCAGCTTGCTCTCTAGGCTGCCTATCTTGTTTTCCAGTTTATCTGCCTCCTCATCCACGTGCTCTCCACTCTCCTCCAACATGCCCATCTTTGTGAGGATCTGTCTGCCTTTCTCCTCCAGGTGACGTTTGGCCGCAGGGAACTCGGACAACACCTCCGTCAGGTCTTCTTTGGACAAGCTGAACAGGTCAGAGTAGCCAATGCTGCGGATGTTGGCGGTGCGGCGATTGCCTGACTTATTACCTAAAAGGAAACACACCAGTGAAAGGAGTGCCCTCTTATTGCACCAAACTAGTCTGTTTAAAGCATTTAGTCAGGTATTGTTTCACATGTTTCTATTCCATTAAACTATAGTCTGAGAGTTGTTTTTTTCTGCAGAAATACTTTAATTTGAGCCATGAATTTGCCCGTTCTCCATCACTTATTATCGATGAATGCTGTTATGGGAAAAGTACTCGACACTTGACTTACCTTTGATATTGAGGATGCTAATTTCCCCAAAGAAATTGGATTCACTCAGCACAGCAAACTCTGTGACCCCATCATCTGCTACAACTGCAAGTTTACCCTCTCTGATGATGTACATTTCATGGCCCACGTCTCCTTTCCTGCAGACGTACTCGCCCGGACTGAACACCTGCGAGACACAAGACACGAGAAACCGCTCAATCCTTGAGCTTTCGTTTTCCTGGAAGCATTTCCGATTCCTTCGATGGACCCTGGAGTCGCGGGTCCCCCCCCCCTGACCTGTGGCGTCAGTTTGAGCACCAGCTCTGCCAGCAGACTCTTCTCACAGCTTTGGAAGATGGTGACTTTGGAGAGCGTGGGCAGGTGGACGCTGACAGCGATCTCTGTCCTCAGGTGTACCGGCAGCTGCTGCAGGATTTCATTCTCTCGCATGATCTTTTTGTTGATGTGAAGATGCTGGTACCAGCTGTCGATGCGCTGGCGGAGCTCCTTGCTGATGTGGTGGCTACGCAGATAGGCCTTCACCTGAGGAAGAGAGGCGCCTTGTTTCCTCTACACTTACAACAAAATACATTCACTTTGAAACATTACACCATCTGCAAGTGCTGGGGGGGCGATGACCGAACATCCACTGTGAGTAAAGGCAATATAACAGTTTGAGTGGAGAGCAAGGCACCGGATCACCTCCGACAGGCTCGCTTCACAAGTTGCTGACCGGACTCAACAAGCAGCCGATGTAAACTGAAGTTCACTAGCTACACTGGATCCCCTGAAATATAGCCACTTGCCCCCAGATGCCTATCAATAGTAAGACTAACAGCCAATAGGTTCAAAGATTGTATAAATTCTTTTCAGGAACTGACTTGCTCCCACTTACCAGCTCATGGTCCGGGAAGAAGACGTTGTCGCGGTCCCTTAGGCTTGTGATGACATTTCCAACGTTGCCGACAATCGATGCAAACACCAACACGGCAATGAGCAGGTCTGCTATCATAAACAAGTACTCTTCTTCCCTATTTGGAAGCGGGGTGTCTCCCACCGTGGTGAAAATCTGGGCTGAGAACCAGAAGCAGTAGAAGTACTGACGCCGCATGGAGGCGAACTCGGGCGTGGTCACGTTGGGGTACACCCAGCGATCACTTCCGAAGCCGATGTAGCTGGACAGGGCAAAGTAGAGACAGGCGTTCCAGTGGATCAGCACAAAGATGTAGATCATGAGCTTGGAGATGCGGAAGGTGTTTGGGTAGGACGTTCTCGTCTCCATGCGATCCAGGGCCTCGTTGAGTCGTGGGATACGGAGAAGACGGTTAATCCTGACCAGCGGGGCTTGGATGCCAAAGACAAAGTAGAGGAAGTCGGTGGGCAGCAGGGAAACCAGGTCACTTAAGGAGCTTTTAGAGCGCAGGTAGCGTTTCCTCAGCTGAGTGACGTCCTTGATCAGGATGCCCTGATCCAAGTAACCTGTGGAGGAAAGAACAAGGTTTACCTTGGCCCAGAGTGCACGTCATGTCACTTATCAAGATATTAAATCCATCTAACTTAGGAGTTATAGGCCCACTGCTTTCACATCATGAATACTGGGGTGGAAAAGATTCACATATTTAAGACTTTTAAACCTTTCTGATCTTCTGATGTCTCAAGACCCTTTAGAAACCCTGTGAGAGGCGCTTGAGAAACCGTCTCATTTGACTGCAGCCGGGTGTGACGGTCCATCCCTGTTAGTCCTGCTTCTGTTACCCCCGTGTCTCCCTTCCCTCATGCAGACCCGATACAAACTGGGCCTGACGGTACTGATAAACTAAAAATCCAATTTCAGTTCTTTCCACACTTCTCATGTGGCAAAGTCCCAATCAAAACCAAAGAAAATGATTATGAAGAATATTCACCTGTGTGAACCGTGATGATCATGTCGACCAGATACATGATGTCAGCCAGATAGTCCAGTGTGAGCCACACAGGCAGGTAGCTCATTGCAATCGTAGTGAAGCATGTCCTGAGAAAGCATAGCCCATAAAAAGATGTCGAATGATTGCGGGTTACGTGCTTGGATGTGTGATTAATACTTGATGTCCCCCATGTTTGTACCTCAGAATGATGATGACCCAGTTGTAGACGATGGGAAAGATCATGACCTGCAGCCAGACGTAGTAAAAGTGTTCTGCCGGATCAACCACCCACTCGTTCAAGCTGATGGAAAGAAGGGGAGGCAGACGAGGATCAGTTATGATGATGTCGGCTCGACGTGAGGGTCTATGAGTCACATAGAGGTCACAGACAGAGTCCCAGAGGTCGGGCCATTTAAATTTAAATTTAAATACGTTGTCCATTTGTGTCGGCTGATTGCAGCCAAAGGTTATTAGTAGATGATGCCTCATTTGCATATTTAAACATAACACTTCCTACAACTTGTGATTCAAGAAAACGTTTGTTTAAAGTTTTCAACTTCTGAAGTCTGAGTAAATATGAATACAATTAATGGTAATATTAATAGAAGTCCTCAAACTAATTTTAATGATGAATTAATAACTTACTTGACTTTCCATTTCAGCTTGGTCTTGGATTTCTCTTCACTCTTGACCCCATCGTGTCCTTCCTCGGTCACTTTCTTCCCCTGTTGCCCCCGCAGCAGCCTCTGCCATTGGTTACCTTGAATGCCAACATCAGCGCTTTGCTTCATTGTCCGACGTGTATCCTCAGACTAAAACATTCCTTAAAGGGAGCACGGCCTTTGCTCTTGTTTCCTCCGGCACGAGCGTTCCCCTTTCTCGAACGACAACTCATGCAACCTTGTTTTCTTGCACGAGGCAGAGCGACGTGGTTCACCCGACAACACACCAGGTGCTGAGGACTGGCTGCTGATGCAGGTCTCCATGGAAGAAAACCACAACAGATGTCAGGTGTCCTCAGGGGATTCCTTCTTCCCCCCAGAAAGCCAGAGAGGCCTTCCTCTGCGCATCCCAGAGGCTGCTAGAGACAACTAACGATAACGGGAGCGTGTAGAGCCCAAACCACCGAGCGCACAACATGTCTCCCACATTAAAAGAGGAAACGTAAGACTAAGAGAGGCAATGTTTTTGTTTCATTCATTTCATGTGTATTATTATTGTATTTGTATTGGCCTGTCAATCTTTGTCTCTTTTAATGTAAAATTAAAAAAAGGAAAAGGATTAACTTGCACGTGAGAGTTTAGATCAAACGCTTAACAGAAACGGCATCTTTCATTCAATTTTCCTTCCTTTTTTCTCTTTTCATTTGGGTTGATGGTTTATTATCATGAATTGTTCAAGAGTAAAGCTAATTCATTTAGTGACAATTTTCTTCTTGCTTCATTAACCCATTCCATACCCAACAGAATACAACTTCTGTTTTGCTGACAACACTTTTGGAAATAACAAGAATGTTTTATTTGCATCCGTCCATGATGTATTATCTCAGTTTGGGTTTACGACTGTTTTAATCCCTGGTCTGGTTTTGTCATCGCCAGCACGATTTAAGTTTGAAATATTGTCATTGTGTGGGACGGTGCTCGGCCCTCCGGACGTCAGGCTGCTCTCCCATCCCCGATAAAACACTCAACGCACACTTATTATCAGCGACGGCGTGGAAGTGGGTCGCAGAACTCTCCTTAATTGTGACGCTTGAGATGCCGTGTGCACGTGCATGGACACGCGCAGAGGCGCGGCCTCGCCGAGGGCGTGAGTCAGAAGTCGTGTGGGAGGAGCCAAATTAAGATGGCTGCGGCAAAGGGGACGAGTGCTTGAGGAGCCATCGGATGGGATGTTTATCTGCCTGTAACAGGATGCACAGCAGCCCGAACGAGGGAGTGGTCACCGCGTTAGCTCCTCCGGCTCGCTGGGGTCTAAGTCGACAGTCTTCTCCCGGTTACTCCCGCTCCGGTGCCCGGTTGGCTGCGCTGACATTGTGGAATTCGTTAGCAACCCACCAGCGCTAGCTAACTAACTAGCCACCGGCTAAGTTAGCGGGTATCTGTGGAAATCACGAGCGCAACACAACTGGGGAGAGTCACACAAATACCACAGGTGAGTCACTGTTTGACTGCCGCCATCGACGCGCACGGGCGTTTCGACGGGGCGTTTCGCGCACGTAACGCACACGGCGGACGCTTGCACGCTAGCTAGTTATCTGCTGCAGAAACGTTGCCGATGTCGCGTTAGCTCTCGCCGCGATCGAAGCGCGATGTGAATCGTTGTTTTCTCGAGCGCGAGGCTGTTGCGGTTGACCGACGTGCGATCTGGCGCAGGGTGATTGACAACGTGCCATTTAGGGGGAGGTTTATCGAGCGATCGGATCAAAGGGCAAGGTCGTCCAAGCCGGGTGATGGTGAAGAGCGAGGTGCGCCGACGTCACCGGGGCGGGCGAGCGAGCGAGCCGCGGATCAGCAGCAGGGCGCCGGTCCGCGGCCGACGGCTCCAAAGCACTCGGTCCACCAGTAAAACTTGATCCTAGTGTGTCAATCAAAGGCATATGCATACATATGCTGGCACGGTGGGCATTTTCTCTGGTTGGAGCCTTTTTCGGGCATTGAATGCCAATCTGTTTTTGTTGGAACACAAGAAAACAAAATGTTAATCCCACTCCTGAACTGAGCTCTACAAGGAATCTGTCAGCAGGGTCAGGACTTGTGAATAATGTGGGTTATTCATTAGAGGTGAAACAAGGCAATAGACGGTTTAGTTTCTTCATTCTTCTTTTTTAATTTTGAGATGTCATGAGTAAGAAGTATTTTCCGCCTCACTTGGTTTACGTCACTGCAAGTCTCTCTTTTAGAGACACGCCTAACACACAGTGATTCTGTCTCGACTTGAGGCCGATCACTGGAACTCTCCCTGAAGGAAGAAGCAAGTAGCCAGAAAGTCTCTCTGTGGCCGTCCGTTTGCAGCAGAGAGATGCACGTTTGTTGGTGGAGGCATCGTGGGAAATGAATGAACGCGTAACAGGCGGCGCGCAGGGAGCAACGTGGTGTTTGTGGTCCGGACCAGCGGTGCCGAGGACTTCTCGATAATGTATCCGGTGAAAGGGAGTCTGTTCATGTCTGAGGCCGCAAGCACCAAGTGGAGCAAAGCAAAGGGGACGGTGCAATGACCTTGGAGCTCTGCTCGTACACCACTGGACAATTCCCCCAGTAAGCAGGTGTGTTTTACAGTGAGACAGACTTTCACCCCCCCCCGGCCGCGCTTTGCTTCGGTCTGAATGTCCACGGGAGTTTAGGTTCGCTGTCAGACATTGAGGTGTGAGAACATGACAAGCGGAGCTGTAGAATGTTCGACCTTCCACTAACTCTCCCTTCAGTGGAATCTAGAGACAAACTTTGAACTCTTTTTATGGCCGTCTTTTATGGTCTGTGACACGCAAATAAAATGCATATTCTTCCGTGTGCGGGTTAGGGTGTTGTGTTCTAAAGTCCGGCATACACCTGTAGATCAAACGGCATCGGGTCTGTGCATGAACTCATTTGGTCAATTTAAAGAGAAACATGTTCTGTGAGCAACACGACATTATATGATTAACTGCTGGCAGCCGGTGAATCATTAGGGGAAGCGTGGCGGTTCCATTCTACCTGCTCTCCTTCACTGCTGGTTGTGTATTTCTGGTACAGCGGCTCTATAATGAATCCCATGAAGTCCCTTTTATTGGTTTAGGGGAGTCATGAGATGTGCTGCTCGGGTCTGACCTAAGTTCAAGTCAAGAGACTTTAGTCCACGTTCTGTTACCGGGATTCAAAAGAAGGTTGATTTGTCGACACTTTGTTAACGGCGACGACCTGTCAGATGAGGGATGACCTTTATGAGGCAGCTGTCACGCTCCACCAGCTGGAACAGAATGAATTTCAGGGAAATCGAACTTTCATAATAAACGTTTCGCTTGATGTTTATTTCAAAGGAAAAAGGCTTTCGGTTGGTCTCCGATGTTCGTTCATCAAAAAAAAAAGCCATCAAAGCCACTCAGGATCCACCCACATCTCCTCATGCTGAGAGTTCACTCACAATGAATCGCCACATCCGGCAGATATTTAATGGAGCTTTTCCAACGTGGTCGCTGGAGCAGCGTGTCCATCTTCCCGGACCTCCGGGACAAAGCGGCTTTGGGTCGAGCCTCACTGCCCAAACACAAGCACGGGCCCGTGTTCCTGCAACACACACACGCACCCGATACGGGAGCGTTCAAATACGTGACCGGTTGTGTTTTGTGACTGTCTCCCCAGCGCTGAGTCCCCCCCCCCTCCCCCTCACTGGCTATGGGGTGGTGCTGGCTCCAGACCGGATGACGGGGTCCACGGGGCGGACGGGGTCACACCCAATCTAAAGCAGCGGGCTCTTCTTCCTGCACGCCGACTGGCAGTGACAGCTCCTCTTGCAGAAGACCGCCCTCCCCTCCCACGCCGACCCCCCCCCTCCCCCCCTCCCGCCTCCCCCCCCTTCTTGATTCCTCGCCGGTGAGTGCTGTTGTGGCAGCGTGCGAACCCGCCTGTCGCCGGCTGCCAGCATGAGCTGGCTGAGCAGGTTGAACCCGCGGGGCCCCGGAAGCCGGGCCGGCCGCAGCGCCGCCCCCTCCGGCCCCTGCACCGCCGACCCGGAGACCTGCCTCATGGTGTTTGAGAACCACTGGAGACAGGTGAGACGCACATCTGGTGTTTAACGTATTCTGTTGGATTTGTGTATCGTGCTCTTCCTCTTTCTGGTCCAAAGCCAGAACCTTCTGTATTTCTTTCCGTTTCCTTTGGCATGTAGATGATCCAGTGATGTAGATGCTAGTAAGGAACAAGTAGAGCAAACTTCTAAAGAGGATTTTGGCTGATGGGACGGGGGCCACATGGACACATAACTGTACATAAAAAACATAAAAGTCCGGTCCTGTCCAAAGAGAGAATCAGTAATAAAACAGTTTTCTGTTAAAAACCAAGGTTACTCATCCCTGTTAAAAAGTAAACGCTCACTTCTTGGTGGAGTCAGAATTCTCCCCTTTGTCCTTTTACTGAATGATTATGTGCGGCAGTAGATGTGAGTGTGCACGTTGGCGCATCCAGCTGTTTGTTGCCGTGCCGACGAGCGGGGTCTGCCAGGCGGCCTTTAGCAGGCGGACTGGCTCGTGCCTGAACCCCGGCTGCATCCTTTAGAGCTCAAAGGCAACATCACACGTCTGGGCGATACTTGTTCAATTGCCAAAACCCCCCTTTTTTGTGATCCGCTGCCGAAGTCACCCGACGGCGAGCGTTGCGAAACATTCATAGTTTCGCAACATTTTCTGAATGTCATCTTCGTAAGTTTTCCATCTTGATAAAATAACCGTTGAGGTTCACACTTAATTGCGTTTGTAACATCGGTCAACTCGTTTCAGTATATTACACAATGGTTTGAGAGGGATTCATCCATATGTGGACACGCACGCACACGTACACAAACCCTTTGGTCCTGCTGTCCGCTCTAACGTCAACGCCACTCTTTGAACTAATACCAAGCGTTGCACTTAAACTCCGCCCCTTTTCGCCCAGCTGTCTTGGGTGTTTGTTGTACTAGAACCGTCTTTCTGTTAGATTATCTGATTGCCGCGAGGAACCACACCTACAGTTCTAATGCCTCCTGCGGAGGAGCGGCCCGCCGAGACCCCCGAGGGCGGCGCTGGCATCGGCGGCGTCGGCGGCGTCGTGGCGCCCATGGGCCCCATCCTGGAGCTGGTGGTCACGGAGAACATCCTGGAGCGCCTGGTGCAGTGGCACCTGCGCCGCGGCCTGGACCCGGACAGCCAGGGGGCGCTGCTCAAGCTGTTCGAGATGCTCATCGGCCAGTCGCATCAGCCGCTGCTGCAGCACACCGCCGTCCTCCACCCGCTGCTGAGGCTGCTGGGAGCGTGCGCCGACCCGGACCTGGGTTGTCCCGCCGCCCTGGAGAACAGCCTGGTGCTGCTGCTCAACCAGGTACGGCCAGCAGCCTGCGCACGGGTCTGCAGAGGGCGCCGATCGTTTGGTAGTTCTGGTAAGAATTGCGAATGCCCCCCCCTCCAGGTCTGCGTGTCCGTGGCCCGCCAGCCTGTGGTTCTGGAGATGTTGTTTCGGGCGGCGCCGGCCCAGCAGGGCTCCACCAATCTGCTCATCTTCTCGCTGCTGGTGCCGTTCATCCACCGGGACGGAGCCATCGGGCAGCAGGCCCGCGACGCGCTGCTGCTGGTCATGGCGGCCTCGGCCAGCAACGAGTCGGTGGCGCGCTACATCGCCGAGAACTCCTACTTCTGCCCGGTGAGTCGTGGCGCTTCCCAAAAGCTGTTCAGACGTGGCCAACTGTGGTGATTCTTTTTATCTACCTGTGTCTGTCGTGTCCGTGGCGCATGGGGACGCAGGTTCTGCTTCCTCTCTGGCGTCGGGCGGGATGTTGGGCTCAACCAAACCTTGTCCTGGCAGTTACGTTGTGTGTTTGGTAGTGTGTTTCCTCCTCATGTCGGGGGGGGGGGGGGGGGCCGGTCCGTCCTCGTGAACGCGATGTCGAGGTTCCCGTGTGCTCGCTGCAGGTGGCGGCACGCGCAGGTTGGATGACTTTGCATAACGTTGCTTTCTTTGTTCGATTAGCGTGTTTGGAGCCGCCGCTGAAGTTGGCGTGCTCACTCACTAGTTTGTGATTTCTCTGGATGTCCGAGTATTGTAGATGAGAGATGGGGGTCGGATACTAATCGGTGGGAGCCAGAAACACGGTGCTTTTCATTGGCGTCGCCGTGGCTTCAGAGCGGGTGTGATTAGCCTCGTTCAAGGCGTAATATTTCTAGTGAGTCCGGTGGGAAAAAACTAACAATCCTATTATCCTCTCATTGGTTGTATACGTTCTAACATTAGACTTCTGTCGGTCCCACTAGCCGAATGACCACTGGAAAACGCCTGTAGGGCATCTCTGTAAACCTGAGACACAAGAGATCAACTTAAGGATGACATGAGGTCAGTGCGACCCTCATTTAACACAAATGTATCTTTGATTAAATGATCGATGACATTTTGGACAGATGGATGTAAACTGCTACAGGGCCGAGGTTCACATCCACATGTCAGCGATTCTTCTCTGAATGGGAAGTTAAAGCCACAGAAAACGAGGTTTCAGGTTGTTGTCCATTTCCTGGTATGTTATCATGTATTGTATAATTTAGGACAAAAATGAGTCATTACACAAAAAGTAAATGTAAAAGATCTCCAATTTAAGTTGATTAAATATTCTTTTCAGTTGTGAATACCTCGCTAAGTAGGTTTCGGTTCGGTTTGACAGTTTATGAAAACCTTTGCACCCACGCAGTGAATCTCACTTAGCTCCTTTCTGAAAGAGAAACTTTTCTTTCTGCTTTTGCTTCAAAAACTGTTGGATTGCACTTTTACTTGTGCTGAATTAACAGTATCAAGCTACATTATTTAATGTGATGGACCATGCATATGAACATGACCTGCTCCTCAATGATGTGATGGTTGAGGACAGCTTATAGTCGTGTGTGTGTGTGAGATCAGCAGTGATGGTGTGCGATAGTGGAGGGGGAAGGATGTGACTTTGCAGAACGTTAATCCTGATCTACATCTGATCGCTCTGCCTCAACTTGGACGGCTTCCTGCAGAGCGCTTCTGGGCCACTAAGACCTCAGACTGCTGCTGCTGCTTTGCCCTGATCCGCAGGGTCCAAACCACCAAGAGCTCATCCAAGAATTCAGCTGAAACCACACGAAGGAACACGGCGGCTCGCCGCGGATTAAACCCCAAATGGTGTTTTATTACTTATTGATCACTTTGATGAACTAGCTTTTACATTTAGACGAAACTGAAACCTGTGTGGTGTGCTAACTCGTACATCCCAGTGTGTAGATGATCAGTGTCCACTTGTGTTGTTGTAGTTTCTACAAGCCGCCAATAGGTGCCGCTAAAGAGCCATTTTATGTCTCGTTGCAGCCTAAATGTATTTCCACACAATAAGCACGTAACAACCTGCAGGATTTCCAGAGTGCCTCTTGAGCCCACACCACGCCGTCGTCCTACATCTAGTCAGGCAAGACCTCAGGTCTGAGCCGCATTGTGCACCGTATAAAAGCTGCCGTTCTCATTTCCTGTTTTTTTGTTTTTTTTTTCAAAGCAAGCCGGCTCAGCTATTCTCTGCATTGCGCTCCTTCCGGCGGCTTCAGTCTGACCTACTTACGGGCTCTGAAGGACCAGCGCAGGTGGTCCAGATTTAAAAACACGCAGTTTCATCAATGTCATCAGCTGTTGTCCAAACAGAAAGTTCTATGAGGGCTCTAGGGGATTTTCCATCTTCTATAGGGGCGGCATTACGCTCCTTCCTCCAGACTGCAGCAGGTTAGCGAGCTGTTGTGCATACCTGTTGGGTCGTTAGCTGTGTGATGAAAACACAACAGTGTGTTTGAGACACACGAGAACGCTGCCAAGTATTATGGGACTATTACACTAAACACCCGTAATCTGCTGCTCGCATCCCCTGTTGTTTAGTCTAGACGATGTCAGAGACTCGGGGACGATTACTCTGTACAAAAGCCTAATGGGCCTTTCTTTGTCAAGATTAGCTTACAAATGAAATAATCAATCAACGCAGTTTTTCAGCTCGCTGTTACGGTTGTTTTTCTTAATCAATGTCTTCATTGTTCGAGCTTCTGAGAGAAACATTCATTTAGTCGCCCGTTCATTCATTTAGGAAACAACCCCCTGTCCTTTTCCTGCAGCAGGTTCTGGTTCTCCTGATGCCTCCATGACACAGAGTTACATGAGGTGGAGCTCTGCTCTTTGGGGGGGAGGGGGGTGGGGGGGCGCTCTCCATCTCCCCCTGGCAGTGCCCGAATCAGACCTTCTGACTCCGCCTCTTCTCGTCTCCTCTCAGGTGCTGGCGACGGGCCTCAGCGCTCTCTACTCCTCTCTGCCCCGGAAGATGGAGGTGCACGGGGACGACTGGCACGCCCTGCGGCGGGAGGACTGGATGGGCGTGTCCTCGCTCGTGCTCTTCATGAACTCGCTGGAGTTCTGCAACGCCGTGGTGCAGGTCGCTCACCCGCTGGTCCGCTCCCAGCTCCTGGACTACCTCCACAACGGCTTCCTGGTGCCCGTCATGGGCCCCGCCCTGCACAAGGTAGGCAGAACGGGGGGCCGGAGGGGGGGGGGCGTTTGTCTTCTCTGTAGCCGCGCTGACCTCTTCTGCGGCTTCGACTCGACCTGTGAGCTCTTTTTTTTCGCAGTCGTCGGTGGACGAGATGATCGCCAGCACCGCCTACCTGGACCTCTTCCTGCGCAGCGTGTCGGAGACGTCCCTCCTCAAAACCTTCCTGCGCTTCATCCTGCTGCATCGCCACGACAACGACACCATCCTCGACACGCTGCTCACGCGCATCAGCAGCAATTCACGGGTATAATTATACGTGTGTGTGTGTGTGTGTGTGTGAAGGCCTTTATGTGAACTCTGCTGTGCGGGCGGTGCGTGGGCCGAGAGCAGGGATCGATCCAGAGCGTCTCACGCAGAATGTAGAAGTATCTGGAGGGCGATCACCATCGAGTCTCCGCCTCTTCCATCGTTTGCCGTCAGTAAATCGATCCGCAGTGAAAAGTGGATGATCTTTCACCAGTAAACACGGGATCTGTTACTAGAACACACCTGGACCAGTGAAATCTGTCACACTGTGATTAATAAAGCCGAGGTTGCCGTGTCTCCTGCAGCTCTGCATGGTGTCCTTGGGCCTCTTCCGGACCCTTCTGTCCCTGAACTGCGAAGACGTAATGCTGCAGCTCGTTCTCAGGTTCGTCTGCACATCTGGCCACATCTGCACATCCGCGTGTCTCAGGCATTGTTTCTTTAGCTTGAAGTACTTCTCCCTCTCCACCCTCGGCTTCCTAAGGACAGCCTCTGTCTTTATTAATGAGGTCATATGAAACACAATCTCCCAGCAGAGCAACACACTTTGTTAGAAAAATGAACCGGAAGGTAGTTTTGTTTTTCTGTCCATCATCACTTACAGATGTCCAGACTTTTAAGCCCTTTTCTACCAGCCCTCTGTGATCTTTGCCTCCTCGGTAGCTCTTGTTAAAGGTGAAATAGCTGCTGCTGTCGGAATCCTTACCCACGGTTTGCTCCCCAGGTATCTACTGCCCTGTACTCACGTCATGCTGAGTCAGCGCCGTGCCATCAGGGAGACGGACCTGTACGGAAGGTCGGCCGACAAGTTCCTGTCGCTGATCCCAGAGTGCTGCCGGCTGAATGCTGAGCGGGACGAGGACGGCCCCTTCTGGGGCAAAGGTGGGCAGCAGCGGGACCGGGGCTGGTTGCATTAAACACTTATTTGCAGCTTTTTCTGGCTTTTTTATATATATTGGTGATATCAAATCGGGAGAAAGGTTTTACTCCCTGACCCCGTGTGCTTTCACCCCCCCCTGGTAGTGAACAGTCCCAGCACAGAGTCCCCAGCGCCGCCCAGGCCCAGCACCCCGTCCCGCCTGGGCTTCTTCATGCGCCAGCAGAGCAGCGGAGGCGGACCCGGGGGAGGAGCTCCCTCCACCCCCGCGGAGCAGTCGGGCGCCGCGGCCTCCCGCCCCCTGTCCCCCGACAGCCCCATGCACCAGCAGCAGGCCCACGCCGAGTGTCTGGACTGGGACTCGGGTTACCTGGAGTACCTCAAAGACTCCCGCCGGGGCATCGAGATCTGCTCCTGGGCCTGCCGCGACTGGTCGGCCCCCTACGACGGCGAGGACCCTTCGCCTGAGCGCCGCCCCTCCGCCCCCGCCTCCCCCCGCCTCCAACCCCACCATGGCTATGTTCCCCGAGCACTTCTCCCTCCAGCCAGGGGGAAGCAGCAGCAGCGGCGGCGCCGCCCCCCCCCCGGCGCAGCAGAAGGCGGCCGTGGTGGCGGCCGCGCGCTCCGAGTGGAGCAGCTCCCAACGGGACAGCGGCGAGTGGGACGTCACCATCGGCAAGAACAGCTGCATCAGCCTGACGCCCCGCTCCAAGAAGCGCAGCCTGCAGAGGGAGGAGGTGCTGCCCAAGCCCGCCGTGCCCCGCCTCGTCCCGGCCCCTCCCTCCTCGTCCCCGGACGCTCCTTTAGCGGCCTCCCACGCCGCCTTGTCCCCGGCGCCTCACAACCCCGCCTCTGCCGTCGCCGTTTACAACGGAACGGCGGGGCGGGAGGACGGCGGCTCGGACAGTCGGGACAGAGGGCTGGAGGTGAAGAAGGTGAAGAGGGACCTGGGGGAGCCGCAGTACTTGGACGAAAACGCCAATCAAAACGGGTCCCTCGTCAGCCCCCCCCCGCAGTCTCTCTTCACCGACGGCGAGTCGCCCCGCCCCGATCCGAGTTCCCCGCCGAGCCCCGTCGGCCAGCCGCAGGCCGGCGACGCCGGCCACCCGCGCCTCAACTCCCCCGACCTCCCGGAGGCCGACCTGACGCAGCAGTCCATGGAGAGTCTGATCCGGGAGCTGTTGGAGCAGGCGCCGGAGGAGGCGCAGACCCCCGCAGACCCCAACGGTCAGGGCATCAGCATCGAGGCCTTCACACAGGAGCTGAGGGAGCTGGAGGACCGCGTGAGGGAGCGCAGCCGGGCGGCCGGGCAGCAGGAGGAGACCGCCAAGGAGCGCCTGTCCTCCGAGCAGCCGCCGGCCCCTGACCCACAGGCGAAGCCCACGGGGGACGCAAAGGGGGACGGCGTCGCGGTCGCGCCCTGCAGTCCCGCCAGATCGCTGAGTCAGCCCGCGTCTCAGCCGTACACAGGTAAGATGAAAATGTATATTTCTCTCCGTTGCGCCGTCTGGCAGCATTTGTGTTTATTCCACCGTGTGAAAAGTATCGTAAACCAATTCCAGAATACACACGTTTGATCAGCTGAGATGATTCAAACAGCAACAATAGATCCACCATTGTAACTTTGTAACTGATGCCTAAATCATCATTTCTTTTGTTTTTCTGTGGAAATGATCCTTAATTGTCCTGCTCAATACAGCTGCATTAACCTGGCTGTAGTGAGCCAGAGGAGTTCGGGGGCCAGTTGTGAGTAGCGTTAGCCGCTAATGTTAGCGTGACTCAGTGTGAATGCACTGTTCTCCCGCGTTGCTCTCTTAAATAGGAAGTAGGTTGGGTGTGGTGGCGTGGGGGGGGGCACAAGCAGTTTTATCCCTCCGCGCAGCAGCTCCGTGCCGTCAACAGCACTTGGAGAACATCTTTAGATCAGTTTTCTGCTCAGCAGCGCACATTTAACCCCTACAAACTTTACTTCCCATCGGTATTGTGTGGCTAAAGTTGTGTCCCTGTGCAGGTCCGTTCATGGTGGTTCTGTTTGCCAAGCTGGAGAACATGCTGCAGAACTCGCTGTACGTCAACATCCTGCTCACGGGCATCGTGGCCCAGCTGGCCTGCTACCCTCAGCCCCTCCTGCGCTCCTTCCTGCTCAACACCAACATGGTCTTCCAGCCCAGCGTCAAGTCGCTGATCCAGGTAGGAAAAAAACCCAGCAACACCGTGAGTCAACAACCAGTCTCCTGTTAGTGGGCGCTGGTGGTCCACTTCCTGCCCACCTCACTTCTGTGCGCGCTTGTGATCCAAAAGCGTCCGGCCCACAATGCATTTGTGTAGTTTCTCTATTCATACTCTTATTTGTGTAAATGGGTGACTAACGAAGCATTTCAGTCAGTGATCTGACATCTGAAGCCTTTTTCCCCGCCGCAGGTTCTAGGTTCTGTGAAGAACCGCATCGAGGCCTTCGCGGCCTCTCATGAGGACTTTCCCGCCATGCTGAGGAAAGCCCAGCAGTACCTGGTGGCCCGAGGCAAAGTGGACTGGGCCGACTCGCCCGCGGTTGTTCCCACCCTGCGGCGCTCCGATTCATTAGGTGGGTGTGTGTGTGTGTGTGTGTCGGGCAGAGGGAGACTTGGCTGGGTTCACTTCAGACCGGCAGGTTGGTTGACTCAAGAAGATTGGAAAATAAGGTTTGTCTAATAAATCGACATTCATTACGCTGTTTCTATGATGGCAAGTCAGATTTGACACTCGTTAGATTAATATAAAAGAAGTATAGATTCCATCAGAACCCGGGAGGTGGACCTTGGGCTCAGACTGCCCCTCCCACTCTGTTCCCATTCCTCTCGTTCCAGTGAAGAGCCGCAAGCCGTCCCTCGGGGACCTGATCCTCCGCCACACCAACAGCCCGACCCGGGCCCGCAACGCCGCCCAGCTGGCCCTCGCGCACGTGCGGGACGGCAGCCAATCGCTGCACAGCGCCTTCTTCAAGGGCGGCGGGGCCGGGGGGGCCTCGGGCCTGGAGAAGCAGGCGGAGGCGCTGCGGGTGAAGAACGCCGTCTACTGCGCCGTCATCTTCTGCGAGTTCCTCAAGGAGCTGGCCGCCCTGGCTCAAGAGCACGCCGTCACGCTGCCTTTCCCCCACAGCCAGGAGGCCGAGGAATGAGAGGAGGGAGGGACGCTTGGAATCCAGCCGCGGGCCGGAGCATCGGGACTCTAAAGGCAGGATTCTGATCACTATAGGACGCCTGCAAGACTGGAAGAATTTCCCTCAGCTGTAAACTGAACGCTGTTGTGCATATCTTGTATTATATTTACATTCTATACAGACGATCTCAGTAAACGCTCGAGATTAGGGAGCTTGTACATATACAGGAAACACGCGTCGGTGCTAGTGTCTCCGTGTTGAAAGTGGAAAACAGTGCGGACTAAAAAACGGTTAGAGGGGGGAAAAAAAACAACCTTGAATGCGTCGACACATCAATCAACCGTAAAGGGATCCATTAGGGAGGAAGTGTCCGCTTTTATTCTGAAGGCGATGAGGAAAAAAAGAGCCACGTCCTGTCCTGTGGACAAAATAACTGGAAAAAAAGACTTTGGGGTAATGAAAACCATTTTTTTACATTTTTAAAAAATATATTTTGTTTGTCTTTTACATCTGCACCTTTTTCTAGACCGATCAGCATCGTACCGGAGCGCGTTTTATTTGAAGTCTCTCTCCATAGGAACAAAGGTTGACTGCGTCTCTCCGGGCCGTCAGCCATTCACCTGGTGCCATGAAGGAGGCCGAGGGATTCGGGAAGGCTTTGCACGCTGGGTACCTTTTTATGTGTCATATCTTCTTTCTTTTTTTTATTCAAAGACCCGAGGGTCTGCGAGAAAATACATACGGCGGGAAGGGAATTTTTATTTTTATTTTCATCTCCGGACCGTTGGCATGATTTCCATTTTCAAACTGACATTTGAAAAAGGTCACGAGGCTTTCTCTGACTTTTAAGGCAGGTCTTTGTTGGAGCTTGTAAGAAGCCACCTCGGTTGTCCCGTCTTTAGTTCGCGTCCACGTATTGTCTCTGTTGGATGAGACAGGCCAACGTGTTCCATCCTGCAACACCACATGCTGCTATTTTAACACTAACGCCCCTTTTCTCTCGGTGTAATTCCACTGTTAGGTACCAAGTATGAACGTGCATGTTTGAAAACACTCGCCACGTCGTGTCTTTTATGATTTTCGTCCTGCACGCTCCTCGTCTTTGAGACGAAATGCCGCATCATGTTTTTTAAAATGTTTGCCGCTGCTTCTTTTCTAGAAGCTTTTGGTATCACCCGGTGGGGTCCCTGCACGAACGAAGGCCGCGTTCATAGCCAGCGAGTCCGGTCCCTTTGGTTTGTGTGCTGAGCACTGAACAGTTAAAGAAAAAAACGGGTAACTTTGCTATTTTTCAACTGGATGACGGTGTTTTTGAAGTTGGTCCGACGCCTTTTTAAAGGAGTTAATTTATACCTCTCGCTTGGTCCGGTTACTTTTTCTAATATTCATACTCTCCAACACGGGCACTCCGCAAACCGACCCGACAACGGAGCGAGAAAAGGTCGTCTGGCGCTTTATTACCAATCTGCCCCCCCCCCCCTCCCCGAGTGATGACATCACGGACCAATTCAAAGTCAAGTAAATCGTTTGTTTCAATGAGGATCGACTCACTGCCATCCGTCCCTCGCGCCCCTCGTGTAGTTCACGTCTCAGCGGGTTCCTCTGCGTTCAACACTCAAAGATTGTGTTGTTTTTTTGACTATTTCTACAAACGGGTCCGTTGGAGTCTTTTTCCTCGTTCGGTCGCAGCGCGGCGAAGCGTCTTCAGGAGGTTGTGTGTGATTTTGTGGTGCTTTCTATAAATGACGACAAGGTGAAACAGAGAAAGTTGGATACAGAGAAGATGTTGAAGGAGGATGAGGTTGTGCTCTCACAGGTCTTTGGACATCAGTAACCCTAAAATCAAAACAACTCTTATTTCATTTTTAAGAACGTAACCTGACTTTTTTTTAAATAAGGTGTCATTTCAAAACCGGGACTCCAAGGCTTCATGTTTCCCTTCAGGAGTTATTCTTCCTGCCCAAATGAGGGGGGGGCAGTAGATTACTACATGAATGACACGTCCATCGTGGACGTAAGGCTGTAGCTGGGGACACTTTCACGTTGGTCACAGGAGACGTTTCAGCTGGTAACAATCTGCTGGCTCACCACGAAATGCTGCCAAATCCGAGACGCTTAAATGTTTGTTTGTCTTCACATCGGGGAGCTGTTGTCTCGCTGCGGTGGTTGATGTCCCTCGTTGCCCCCTGGGCTCCCCTACGGTCATCATGTTAACTGAGAAAAGGGGTCGATGAGTGGCAAACGCAACGCTAAGCTTCAGAAAATGTCTGTTTCAGACACTTGAACACTACAGAGGATCCGTCAATGAGTTCCATCTAGAATGAGATGCTCGGGACTCACAGCGGCTAACGTTGCTCCCGCTCTTCAATCTCCAACAGATTGGTGCTTCCATCTCGCCAACCAGGCTCACAGCGTGTGTGCTCATCACTCCAAAAAGGGACAATGTGTTATACGGTTTCCTTAACGCATCTTACACACGTTTTGAAAATATATATATATTTTTTTGGGTTGTTTTAAGTGAATTGTCCTTAATCACAGAATGTACCGTATTCTCTCACTTCTCCCGTTTCTTTAAAAAGTTTCAACTCTAATTCCCTGATGGATTTCTACCCTGTGATCTATGCAAGATAAGCTCTGGTGTCCCCCGCTGCCCCCCCTGCCCCCCCCCCCCCTCCTGCTGAAAGATGTGTAAATACTGTAAAAAGAGAAAAGGGAAGAGATGGGTCTAAAATGCCGAGGTATGTGGAAAAAGCCACCCGGACAGAATGAACATCATGCTAAAAATACTGTACTGATGAATGTTGTCAGAAATATTTTTCTATATTTTGAAATCATTAGAAAAACAAAGAACAAAAATACAATGTGGGCGAAAAGCTGTCAGAAGAACACTACAAAGGGAATGTTTCTATTAATTTATAAATTCTTTGCCTAGCAACATGGCGCGTGTCCCGTGTCCTTTCTTTGTCGCCTCGTCCTATTTCTCATTCCCCCTGTGCAGAGACGAGTTCATGCAAGCCAACCCGCTGCACACGGGGGTCTCAAAGGAGGGTTTCCACGTGCGGAGACGCCGTCGTGTCCCCCAATCAGAGCAAACCACTTTCCCCACATCAAAGGTGCAACTGTACCAACGTCAGTTATCTGTGAGCGTGAATTAGAAGCTCACACTTCACGGGCCGTTAATATTATTGACTCCACTACGCCCCAGAGGTAAATATTATTATTAGTCATGTTATGTAAAACATAATTGTACGTTGCAGGCGAGGCAGGGCCAGCTAAAATAATTTCTCAATAAAAATGATTATCATTCAGTTAATTTAATTCCAGCCTCTCCTACATGAAGACTTGCTGGTCCTCTTTGAGGCCCAACAGTCTTTAGGTTTTGCAGATATGGGGAGACATCAGTCTGCAAACCAACAATGTGCCTTTTTCACCATTTGGTGGATTTTTTCGTCGACAAAAAAATCCACCAATGCAGAAGATAAACTGTGGATTAACAGATAAAGTAAATGCTTGTGAGGCTCATAGGAGCATTTGGGTTAACAGTAAATCCGCTCCCCCCGCCGTGACTCTCCACATTCAAAGCGATGCTCATAAATTGCCGCAGCAGGATTCCGAGTAAACTTTAAAGTACACCGCTTGAAGACCAAGAGAAATGTCAACTGTGGAGGAGCACTCACCAGAGAGGACTAGATGCGGCTTGGTGGTCTCCTGGCAACAGCCAACGAGGGCGGGCCACAGGTTAATGGTAGCAGTGGGGGAGGAGCCAAGAAGAGCACGCCATGGAGCCCAGGCAGCGCTGACCGGAGGTAAGACTCAACCATGCCCTTGTCTTTCATTAAATTCATTTCATAAAATGAGAATAAAAATGATTCTAATGATAGAGTATTGTATTAGAGTGCATAGAATGCATTACAATGCATTTTCTACTTGTTTGTAATTATTTCTGTTATTCTTTTTTTAATTAAATTTGAACAGTTGTTTATTGAGTACTTCCACAGATCAGTGGAATTGTCTTAAGACGCGCGTGTACTAACAGCTCTAGTTTGCTAGTCAATGTTTTCCTATGATGAAAACAATCCTACCGGTTGTTCTGCAGCGCTCACGAGATGAGCAACTGGACCCGCCTCATCTATAATGCACTTTGGTAATGTGAGTGGAAACCTGGCTGCTGGCACAAAGAAAGGGGACTTGCGCGGGTCCTCAAATGCACCTGTCACTCATCTGTCCAGCACAAATGACTTCACTAAGTCGCTGGCAAAGATGTAGCTTCTGAATTTGGTCATAATGAAAACACACCGACCAAAGTGCCTGATGGATTTTTTGCAAGAATGACAATAGCTCAGATCTACTGAATAGTACAAAACAGGAACTAGTTGGATGAAAAAGTGGGTGAATGTGTAAAAACCGCCAAACGAGTGCACCAAAACCCTTACGCACTCTCCACCAACTGTAAGGAAGCCACACAGCCGGACACGCATCTCGACTCACGCAGTTCTGTTTGCAACCCCATCAAAAGAAAAACTGAAAATCATGAAACATATTGAATGTGTAACCAGTGAATTTGAGTAAAATAACCGCAGGGTACTTCTGTCCTCGTACTGTACAGCTGCAGACTCATTATAGGAAACATTGATGTTGATTTATTTCCAAAGCTGTGCACTTTATTATAACTTAAGTAATGTTACATGTTTTGTTTATTGTCTGCATAATAAAGAATAAAGAATTAGCAGTGTACCCTACTAATTATCTTTCTTTACACAATGACAACAATAGAACTCACCGCCTCCACGATCACTAGTGATTACTGTTTATTTTCTTTTGAAGTTTAGAAATTACAATATGTTTGGTTCTCACTAATAGCAAGTTGTTCTTCTGTTGAAACTACTCATTGTGCTTGAGTAAAACCCATAACCATGTAATGAACCATAACTAACGCAATGGCACCATTCCTATTCATGAAAACCGAGCCAGGGGCCATTAACCTCCCAATGCCCTCCCAGTAAGAACGCTCCTTTGCGTTTATTACACGATGGTTCTCCCTGCTGTTATCGCCATACGTTACACCGAGGACACACATTTTCCGCTGCCGTTTTGTCGACTTCACTTTTTTGTTTCTCCGGCCCATGAATAAAATATCAAAGCAGGGGTGTGTTTGCAGAGCCGGGGAGCTGAGAAGTATTGTTGTGTTGTCTCTCTGCCTCCCACTCTCGCCCTCACTGTCGACGCTTCTGGCGGTCTGCCTTCATTTCAAATGCTAATGCATTTCTCTGAAAAACTTCCCTCTTCTTCGGTGTTAGTCCTCCGTGCCCACAGACTCTCATCTTCGCTTCATCACCTTTTCATGAGCATCGGTTCACTCGGGCAGCAAACAAAGGGCTCTTATGAAAGATCTAACCGGTGCGCCTGGCACATGTTTAACTATCCAAATAAAAGATAATCTAACGCTAATATGTAGATAATTTAAAAGAAATCCATTGAAGCAAATGGAAATTTCAGATGCTTTCTTTTAACTTGTCTGAAAGAAGACATGTTTTGGAAGTAAAATAGCCCGAAGCCTTGAAATTGAGCTGTACAACTGCAGGTTACCACACTGTGTACCTTTATGGACCCCACAGCCGTACCGGGTGAGCTGTTAATAAAAAGTAATTCTCTTTTCAATGATTTTAACAGTTCTGCTGACTTTCTGCCTACTTAATTTATAGAGTAATTTGCAGTGCGTCATGTTGAGGTCACACCGTTTTAGAAGAATGCATTTGCTTGTTGTTATGGCTGCTCAAAAACAGAACGTGTGGTACCATCAATTCATGTTTACCTTAACGTCACTCTTCATGTTTTGAACTACCTACTATACTGTTGTTAAGGCGTTTGCTATACTTGTTGTTTATGTTTATGTCTCTTTCCTTTCCCTTTATTTCTCTTACTGCAGAAACTCAAACTGAAAATAAGTAAAGAGGCATCCATTAATTCATCACGATGTTTGTGGGGACTCCTTCGGGTAGCAATTCCTCCTCCCCTATCCCGACCTACAGCCCCAGTCCTGATCATCCGTCCGACGGTCCTCCCCTCGCCTTCCCGTCTCAGTCCCCTCCATGCTGGGCGACTCAGGCCCGGCGGGACCTCGCACAGGCAGACGCAGAGCTGCGTCGCCTACAAGAGCTTCATGCAACCCAGACGGACACCGTGAAGCGGGGTGTGGAGCGGGCCATCCTGGGAGCCCGCAGAGAAGAGCGGCGCTTGCTGGAAAGGGTGGAGCAAGACCACCGGGACACTCAGCAGCATCTGGAACAGCTCCAGAGGGAGAACATGGCAGCAGCCCGGGTGAGCCAGTCACTGTTGGACCAACGGCTCTGTACGCTGGCTCAACTTGAGCAGCGGATTCAGGAGGTGGGTCGACAGGCATGTCTAGAGGATGGTGGGCAAAAACAGCTGCTGAAAGATGTTGCAGAGTTCCTACAGCCCTGGGAAGTGTCAGTTTCCTTGAAAAAAGTGAATTTTAAGCCCAGCTCCCAACCTAATGCTGTCCACTTTGGAGATATCCGAGTGCAAGAACAAAGCCTCTGCCTCAACGCCGGAGGTTGCGGGCCACAGGGGCAGCTGTGTGCGCTCCATTCACAGGAGATGCAGCGCGAAGACACAACCCCTCAAGGTGCTAGACGAGAAAAAAGCCCCCTTGGACAGCGGTTGACCTCACCAACAGGCAGGGTTGTCAGGAAAATCAGTCTTTCTACTCGGAGCGACTTGGAATCGGAGGGGGAACAAAACCACTCCCCAGAAAATGCATGTCCCTGGGTTCCCAAGGGTGAGCAGTCTGACTGGGAGTCATCCCATGATGACGAGATGGAGTCAGCGTCTTTTCAGCCACAAGGCGAGGACATATATTTAAGTGTCCCTAAGATACTTAAAAACATGGACGCTGAAGACTTGGAGCAGGTCTACAAGATAAATGGTAATGGTAAACACTACTCTCCCATGAGTCAGAGGAAAACGCTAACTGTGGTGTCTGGTAGAAAGCCGTCCCCCAGAGCGGAGAATACTAACCTGAGTCACTGCTTGAGTTTGGACAGCCAGGTTAGAAGTATAGGAAAAGTGAGTCAAGAGTCCAATGTTAGACATTTGATGTACAGAAACAGTGACCTAAGATCTCCCACGATGACTTCAAGAGAGCCTCTGACCAGTCAAAGCTGCCTAGACCTCACTTCAGGGGGTCGACCTCACTCCCGAGTAAGCCAGTTGTCTGATGAACAGTCTCTCGAACCCCATGGGGACTATGGCCGAGCACCATCCCCAACAGACAGCCTTGACTCCAGCTATACCTTCATTGTCAGCCCACCTCACGATTACAGCACCAACAGAGGCTCCTTGAACTATAATTGCCGTCTATCAAAGTCTGCAGTGGACTTGACACACAAGACTCGCCCGATGATCAGTGGCAGGACTGATGAGCACCTCGAAGAGTGGACCGTGACGTGCAACAACTTCAACTCCATGTCAAGCTCAATGTCCCCAACTCGGTCTAGGGGACCGAGGGTCTCTGACGTGGGTCAGACCCGGACCCACCCTACACGTCAAAGTCACGATGTTCTGCACCAGCCTCAGACAAAAACAACGGTGACTTGCTCAAATACACCCCTGATGGCTAGGTCTTTATCCACCTCTGTCATTGATCGATTCTCTCAAGACCTGAAGAGAGGAAGAGGAGATGTAGGAGAGCCAACCCTGGTGGAGTTGGAGGAGGACGGAGACTCGTCCTTGACAGGATTAAACCCCAGAGGAGTCCATCTGCTTAGGCAGTTTGGGAAGCAGGGTTCTGGTAGAGCTGACCTTACGCTTCCAAGTGGTATCCATGCCACACCACAGGGTCTACTCTATATAGTGGACTGTGGAAATGCACGTGTTCAGGTAAGTGTTCTTTCAGACACATACAACATACAGTGTGTCTACTATAGTGAATTAATTTGGCAGTGTTTAAATCTGAATATAACTTTGAAACAGGTGACTGACCTACGGGGCAACGTTCTCCAGCAAGTGACCTCCCCAACTTGTGATGGCTCTGCAAGAAGATGTCGGAACTACTTTGACATTGCGGTCAATACCAAGGGTTTGATTGCGCTTAGCTGTGCAGCAGAGCGTGCCCTACTTGTCTTCAGCCGGCATGGTCGCCTACTCCAGACATTTGGTGGGTCGGGGTTGGGCTCTGCAAAAGATGATCTTGAGGCTCCCAGGGGCGTGACCGTAACCAGGCTGGATGAGTTCTTGATAGCCGATATCCGAAAAGGTAGCCTCATTGCCCTGAAGCTTGACCCTAAAACAGGCTCCCGTCTAGAGCGCACCGTGGTGACTGGATTTCACCGACCTTACTTAGTGGCGGCTTGCACAAGCTCAGGCATGGTAGCTGTGTCCGAAAGGGGTAACGAAACAGGCCGTGTGCCTTGCATTAAAGTGCTGGAGCCAGGCTGGAACACGGTGAGAGTTTTAGGCATATGTGCTGGTATGGGACCAGTGCTTGCCTGTCCCTGGGGCATCGCTATAGATACAGATGGTAACGTGCTGGTAGCAGACTGGGCGGAGCAGCACAGAGTCCTGTTATACCCAGCACAGGGAGTGGGGTGGCTGATAGTGACCCAAGGCCTGAGTAGTCCCCGTGGACTGGCATTGCTACCTAAGGGCCAAGTAGCTGTGTCCGACAGCATGCACCATTGCGTTAAGATCTACCAGTACAAAGTGACCCAGGATTAGAGAGCGTGAAGAGATGTTTGTGGTTTGGTTTAGTTTTGCTGCTCTCAGTGGTTCAGGGTCCAAGAGATATGCTAATTTCTCTCAGAAAACTGTCTATAGATTAGAGTTAAATCATAGTGTGAATAATGTCTGTGTTTGCTGTCTTTCTTAATATTCTGCATTGAAAAGCAAAGCATTGAAAAATCTAAATATTCACAGTGTATGGATTCAATAAATTCAACAAAGTCCAATTCATATTCAGTATTTTTTTTCTGTGTAGCAAGATAATGGTTGTGATATTTTTACAAAATCTTGTGACAATTTGCTTCAGCGACTCCGTCAAAAGCTACAATTGTTCAGTTGTACAATTGAGAAGCAGCAGATCTCAGTGGCCTTTTCCAGTCCTCCCACTCCCTTCTTTCACCAGCAGTGACTGTAATACATCCACCAACAACGTTTGATGGATTCTGTATTTAACATGTCGATGCCAGTAAGTACAGGGTGAGCTGAATCATCAGCAGTGAAGCTAGGCTGCAAGTCAAAATTATTTTCTGTGAAATATATCCGTTTATAGCACACCAGGGACCATTATTGACTACTACTTTATTCTGCTACCGTTTAGAGGATATTTAGTACTTTTTACTCCATTACATATTTGGCAGCTGTTTACAGATTACAACTGATCTGAAATTTAATTCTCAAAAGCTGAAACAAAGTTATTTTCTATGTTGTTCAATGAATGAAGAGAGATTAACATGTCATCATATTTATCCCCTAGAAAATGTACTGCCCCGATGAATTCTATGACCACAACATTAGAACAAGTATGTTGAATGTTGTCTGATATTTCCCTGGTTTAGCTTTGGTTCCAAGTCACCATTAAATGCTGACTTTGCCCAAGGGAATTACTCACAAGTCGTTGCAATGGGACGTTGAAGACGGGATAAGCAGTGGAAGCATAAAAAGAGGTAAACACGTGTCTAGACTGTCATTTTAAAATGTGTACATTCAAAACATCAAGGATTAAAGATGGATTAACCCAAATTAAATCAGATAATATTTACTAATTTATTCATCAAATATGACATTTTGTTATCAAAGCAATTTTGAGAAAAAAACATTTAATCACCCCTCATTTTATCAGGAAAATGATCTTCCGCAGTCATCAGGTTCACTTCTTTCCTTATCAGCTGTTTCCGAGCTGAGGAACCTTCCTGTTGGTCCATTGTTCTCCAGTCAGCCAGCCTTCGTGTTTCCTACAGCCAGCTGGTGGACCATCCAGACTTCCTGTTCCTCAGTCAGCTAACCCCTTTTCTCCCAGCTCACCATTAAGCCTATGTGACCCCCTCCCATAGGCAAAGTATATTCTTTAAAGTTAATAGTCCGGATGCTTCAAGAAAATCTTGATACAAATATGATATTCATACATTTTCAATCCTGCAAGAATTACTTGCTTTCTTTAAACCAAATCAAATACTGCAAATAAATGCATCACTCGCTCAGTATGTTAGCAGCCTGCTATTTTAATTATAGATGAACGAATTTATACAAGGACATCATGATCTTGTGCTCAATGTATTCATTCATGTTGACTTAACGCTTGAGCTGTGGAGGAGGAATTATGGAAATGACTGGACTCCTACGCACGAGGCGCTGAGGCAGAATTACCGGATTATTTACAGAGGGAAGTTTTACAAAAGAGGCTCAGAGTTTTTGTCAGGATTGTCAAATTGTCAGGAAATACCAATTTGGCTGATTAACCGTGTCATTGTTCCAAAAAAACATGCTTGCTTTTGTTGTGTGTCGGCTGATGTTTCTAGTAAAGGGTGGTTGAAGGCTCCTGCCTGCCTTTCCAGCCTGTCCTTATTAGAGCAGCAACACATCTGTCAGCACACCCTGTCTGAGGCCTACGCATCCAAACATGTAGCAAAGAGCACCCTGCGTGTCCCTGTCCAGTCACCTTGGTGACGGGGACGAATGGGCAACCAAAATAAAGTGCAGTACACTCTGCTGGATGCAGAATGTAATGTTTCTTCACTATTGTCTGTGATTTCAAAGTGCCTTCCTGCCACAGCAAGCTGACATTTACCAACACTACGGAACTGAGGTCTTCAAAATGTAATAAATGTAGAAAGAGCCTTTTGAAACTTTTGATGTGTAGCACTCAGTCTTCACTGACATGGTTAAAAATAGTCTACCGCCTAAACATACGTCTGTGTCTGCATGTGTACTTCAGTATAGAGATGGAAAGTCCCCATTATATGTAGCTTTCCTATAGCTCTTTGTCAGTCTTCCTGAGAATGAAGAATCTAGCAAAGCAATTCTGTATAAAGAAAGTAACTCTGAGTCAGAAGATATGAATAACATGACTGGAATTATGAGGTATTCTAATTAATTGAAGGGAGATCAATACAAGTTTGAGCTACAAAACACTGTTTTCTGAAGATCAACACACTCACGACACAATGCTTCGGGGCTCGAAGTGGTTTCCCTTGGTCCGACGCAAGAATCATTAAATAAAATTGTTCAAGTTTCAGACCTTCCGTCAAGTTAAGTGTCAACAAAAAAGCTTATATCGGCAGCAAACAGCACACACAGAGGCCGTTCTGATATGTGGCTCCAATGGTCCAAATAAGAGTTTCACAGACAACATTTTACAAAAACGGGTCCACAGAGTCCTCCTTTCTCGGGTTTCATAACTGTCTAGAAGTGCTTGGTTTACAACTCGCAGATGGCCATCAACAGCCCTCTGCCAGGTTTTCATCTCTGCATGTTGCTACTACATCGGAATCTTTTTTTTTTGACATTTAGTTGCAGAGTGCATCAAATATTCACAAATAAGCAGACGTGGAAGAGGTGGACAGGTTTTATGGCACTGCTCACCACTTTAATGAATGAATGACTGCAATTAAATGTCAACCAATACAAAAATGATAAAGAAGTAGAAATTGTTCTGTGAGAATGTACAAGTTTGGAATGAAAAAAACTCACACAAACCGCCCCCAGCTTTTATGGTCCAAATTTCACTCCTTCCTGCCTGCTCACAGACAGACACACTGTGCAGTACACTTGGATGTCTGTAATGGTTTGTATCATAAACCCCCCACTGGGTCAGCTTTGGTAGTTTTGCCTTTCTGCAAACTGTTTTTGGTCGTCAGAGTCAAGGCCAGTTTATAGTAAATATCAAATACTTCAAAAAAGATGACGGCATGAACCTAAAGCTCGAAAGAAGTAGTTTACTTCTTAAAGGAGATATTTACTAGAAAATAAATGGTTTAAATCTTAACCCAAACTTTTGACGTAGTTCTACTGTCCATAGACTTTATATGAATAAACATGATCTTGTCAGAGCCCTGCTCAACACATTCAACAAGCGACGGAAAGGCCGGAATGTAAGCTTTGATGTCACTCAGTTAGCTCTTCCTCTGATTTTCAGAAGGGGAGAGAGATCACTTCCTCCCTGCTGAACCCAGACAGTCATTGTACACACTAAAAACTGCCTCATCTTTGAACTGCAAAAATGTCCAACTTTACCTAAAACAGAGACAAGATTTTGTCATTGCAACTTAAATTTTAGCACTGCCAGAGACTATTTAGGTTTTGGTAAACCACACTGCGACATTGTTAATTGATTTGCAAATATATACATATTTTTTATTATATGACTAAATCCCAATATGTTGATGTCAATCCAGTCAAAGGGGCGTCTCTCTCTTGTATAAGGCTGCACTGGTGGGCCCTTCAAATTGTAGTTTGATGGCCTGTTTCAGATTGAGTTGCGGGTCTGTGGTTGTCATGCCAACCATAACATCCTGGGACAAGGCACTACCAGGTGGGGCGGGGCTGAAATTGTAGCAAGCGGGTGACACAATGTCCTTCTGGGGTAGAGAATCCCAAGCCTCCCTTTGAAGTGGGCTCTGTAGTCTGTATGGGTACCCCAGAGGAGGACTTTCTCTGTTAGCATCTACTGCAGGGCTGTCTTGTCCTGGCATTATCCCAAGAGAAGCCATCACTGTGTTCCATTTGCCGCCAGTGTGAGTGGTCCTGTCGGCTTTGATTAAGTTAGAGTTTTGTTTGTTTATTTTGTCGTGATATTCAAGCCCAGACGACAAGCCTTTCTGAGGCAGTTTGCTGTTGTGCACCATGGCGGCGACTGTGCAAACAGTGGAAGGAGGGCTGCCTTTGGGATGCCTCTGACTGCTTCCATGGAGGCTGCCAATGCCCGAGCTCCCTGGCGGGGGCAAGGTGGAGGGGCGGCTACGACTGCGGGGAAGTGAGTGCTGTTGGATTTGCTGGATAAAACTGAGGCTGTCAGCTGGAACTGTCTGAACCGTAGCCATCGAGTGGCAGGTGGATGAGGTTTGGGAGCTCTGCATGGAGTGGAATCGTTCGGCAGTGGAGCCGGGAGAAGACACAGAAGAGGAGGAGGTCGCAGCTGTCCCTTCACCTCCATTACTCTCAAAGATACCTGGTGAGAGGATCTTGTTGGGTTTCGAAGGTGAGACTGTACTAGAACTAGACAACTGGCCCATGTATGGCTTTGCTCCGTAGCTCTCCAAGAGTCTGACAATGTTAAAATGGCCATGTTTCCTAGCCACTTTTACTGGACTACGGCCATATTTATCCATGTGATTGGGGTTTGCACCTCTTTCCAGAAGCAATGCAACAATGTTTGCGTGTCCCACCTGGGCCGAAATGCCGAGAGCTGTTGCCCGCTGGTGACATGGCAGGTCTATAACGACACCAATGGTTTCAAGGAGACGATGTCCTACTTCAACATGTCCTGTCCATGCCACTGAATGGATTGGTGGTCTCCCCTCTGTGTCCTGCGCATTGGGGTTGGCCCCATTCTTTAGCAGCAGGTCTACCATCTCCAGACATCCCTGCCAGGAAGCCACATGAAGTGCTGTACGGCCCTCAGAGTCTCGGGACTCCAAGGGCACCCCTCCTTTCTCTATGATAAGGTTGGCCATTTCAAGGCGATCCTCCAACACCAGCAGGTAGAGCAGAGGCCTTCCCTCTGCGTCCCGGACATCTGTATCAGCCCCTCGCCTCATGAGCAGTTCGGCAACCTCAGCATGCCCCTCCAGGAGGGCGGCACTCAAGGCAGAATGTCCATCGTACGCCCTGTGATCAATGCTAGAACGTCTGTCCAACAACAACCTGACGGTACTCCAGTGACCTTCCTGGGCGGCCAGTATGAGAGGGGTGCGTCCTTCAATGTCCATCTCTCCGACACGTGCCATGCTGCCTTGCTCCGTCAAAGATGCGCACACACTCCGATGGCCTTCACAAGCCGCAGCGTGCAGTGGAGTCCAACCAAGGTCGTCCTTGTGGTTCTCGTCCAGACCACGGTCCAGTAGGGCTCGGACGACTTCAACGCTGCCCCTTGCTGCTGCCAGGCAGAGTGCCGTTCTGCCTTCACAATCAATGGCGTCCACAGCCGCTCCCCAGAAAAGCAGCCGGGAAACAGTCTTCATGTTGCCCATTGCTGCAGCTGCGAGAAGGGGAGTAACAGCCGCTGCTGCAGGGACATTGCCATTAGGGCCAGCAGTCTCATCAACATCGGCACCGGCTTCTAACAGAAGCTCAACTATGTCATCATGCCCCTCGTAGGCTGCAAGAAGCAATGGTGTCATTCCATCATGGTCTCTGTGTCCTGGATCTGCTCCCCGCTCCAGTAACAGACTTGCTACCTCACCATAACCTTTGACCCCAGCTGCTGTTGGAACGCAGAGGGCCGAGACTGACAGAGCAGTGCGCCCATCTCCATCAGCTAAGTTAACTAATGCTTTGTGGTCCAGTAATATCTCCACCACTTCGCAATGTCCCATATACGCAGCAGCAATGATCGGCGTGCGGCCCATGCTGTCGGCTTTGTCGACCTGTGCCCCATAGTCCAGCAGGGTCAGGACGATTTCCTCATGACCTCCCCAAGCGGCGGCTCTGAGGGCAGTCCGACCCTCAGCATCACATCCGTCCACATCTGCTCCTGCGTCCAGTAGAAGGCGGACGGCCTCGCTGTGTCCTCCCCAAGCTGCAGAGCGCAGCGCTGTCCAGCCTTCGTTGTCGACATGCTCCATCATCCGCGCGGCAGTTTCCGGCCCCTGGCTCTTGGACCAGTCCAAGAGCACAGACAGCACTTTCACATCCCCCTGCCTGGAAGCCAGAGTGAGCGGCGTTTGACCCTGTTGGTCACTGACCAGTGGATCACATCCGCGTGACAGGAGAAGTTTGGCTACATTTGCGGAACCCTCGCGGGCCACACTGGAAAGTAAGAAATGATCATCGGTTGAACCAGGCGGATTTACAGAGTCCCCACAGCCTAGAAGCTTCTTTACAGACACGTCCGTTTCAAATGCATGTCTAAAACTACTTCCTTCTTCACCTGTACAATGTACTCCAACGCCTAGGTCTCCATCTGAAACACAGCCTTCAGAGGTGAGCCCAGTACTCCTTAGCAGCTGAAGTACTTCCTGACTGACTAGAACAGGAGGCCGGGTTTTGGATGTGGTGAGGGAAATCCTTCCACGAGGAGTTAAAGCCGGTACACCTGCCAATAGCATCCACAGGGCCAATAATGAGGGGTTATCTTTGTGGTGACCTGACGAAACTAAATATGTGGCAAGCTGGCAAGTGTCCTCAACGTCCAGGTGGGGTCCCTGCAAAGTCAGAGCCATGGCAAGCATACTATGACCCTCTGTTCTGCTGCACAGGTACTTCTGTGTGCAATACTTTACGTCCGTCAGCCACTCCGCAAAGCTGGCATGAAAAAGTAGTTTGGTTCCCCCAGGGCCGTCGATCAGGAGAGGCGTGAGTGTTCGGAGATTGTTCTGGAAGTCCTGGGTGCTGAGTGAGGTGTCACGTGTCCATGTTGCCGTGAAAAGCTGCTGAGGGGTTAGGGGCCTCGCGGCAGCCAAGAGGACGTTGAGGAGAGGCCTGACAAAGACAAAGAGCCCCCGGGGGAACAGTCTCTGGCACAGCCACAGGTAGAGGCCGTTCAGAGTCCCGGGGATGTCCCGGATCTCCCTTAGACCCACCAGTGCACCTGCCACACCATCCAACACGCGCTCGAGAAAGAGAAAGCAGCCGCCGCTCTTAATGTGCAGCAGATTCAGCATGTCGGCCGTGTCAGGAGTGAGCTGGCGGCGAAGTGCTGCGTCTTCATCCAGCCGACAAAGGATGTACTGCTGCACGTCACGGACTGGTGGGGGTTTGCGAAGATCATCGAGGGGGATCCTACGAAAGCCTGAAACGCAGACAGAGATGCCGTTTTGTTTCATCTCAAATTCTTTGTTATATTCACCATTGGCCATGGTGGTCATTTTTTTAAATGATTGTTTGTTTACTGTATGTAATCCACTGTCATTGAGACTACTCAATTAGTGTCAGTCTGCGCTTTCAATGTCCAATCATTGCTGCCCAATGTCCACCACACACATGCACGAGGTAATTTGCCCGACAAAGACTATCATTTACATAATAATACGTGCAAAGTCCAGTAAGACAGGTTCATCTTTCTTCATACCTGAGAACATCTTGCACACAGTCTTGTTTTGGCGGCGGACGGAGCAGACCAGGAGCAGCCAGCTGGGCAGCAGGTGTTGATTTGCGGCCAGAAGATGAGCAATGGAGCAGCTCCTCCCACTCCCCTCGCCTGGCCCGTACCCCACGTCAAGGGAGTCCACCAACAGCATCAGAGTCTGGGCAGGAGGAGGGAGGTCCAACAGGGGTCCCAACACTGCTCTAAGGACATGTGAGAAAGGGCCAAGACACAAGGGAAGAGATTAAATGTCAGTGGCACTGAAATCACCATGTAGACACCTGTTTTGTAGGGAATCAGTTATCCCCAAAAAGGGCGTAGAGTAAATAACTTGAGATGTCACTCAGACAAAGATGGCAGCAGACGACGCGAAGAGATTTTAACGTCTGGGTTCTGATATAAGGCATTGAGGGAATTCAGTCAGCGTCCGCACCCTGCCGTGATCTGCTGGTGACTCACGTACACGGACCGCCTGAAACGTCCTGCTCCACGCACGCACGTGGCTTAATGTGTGTGTACACAGGTTATAAACACACAATCTTATCACACTTGAACTCTGCACCTTCCTTTTTGAAGTACTTCCACCAACTATACTTTCCAGACCCTTAAAAACCCATCAACAGAACATGCCTGAGCTTAGATTTAATTTCTACTCACCTAAACGTCTGTTAAAACCCTTCAGTCCCAGAGCTAGTTCAAACTAACGGTTGATTTATGTGAGAATCAAATTCGCCAACGGTGAAGATTGCTGTACAGCGTTGTTGGAGCATGAACACCACATAATGAAAGTGAAGGTTTTATGAGGGAAGAAGGAATCCTGTATGATTCCAGATGATAACTGTCTGAACAAACATTCCTGAGCCAAAGGCAAACACTACTGTGATGCTGCTGCTTTGAGAACTGTACGGTAATACCAGCTATTACAGGAACCCATGTTCAGCCCGTCCAAACAGAGCCAAGCACTGCCAGACCTGTGTTTAAAGTGGGCTAAACAGTAGCTATTGCATTACTGACTACCTTTAGAACCATTGACCAGAAAATTAACTGTTAAGAATTTAAAATTCATGCTTTAGATTTTTTTTTTTAGACTGATCAAAAGAAAATAAGTTTGTAAAAAAATGTTGGGACCGGTCTTTTAGAAGTTATAGAAAAATGTGTTACAAACAAAAACAAATACATATCAGTGTAAATCAAGCAAAATACTGAATCTCCATTGTATAAATGTCAGAATTCTGACATTTATACAATGGAGATTCAGTTCGGTTGATCAATCAATCTTTTGCAGTTAAATTTTTGTGGTTGAATTTTTTGCAGTTGAATATTTTAACGTTGAAAAACATTCAGATACATGATTTCAATGCATAAATATTCAACTGCAAAGAATTCAATCACCTTTTTCTTTCAATATCCGATGACACAGATTTACTTCCATATCAGAAAACCCATTTAACACTACATTTTCCACAAGGTCTGGTTTAATTCTGTGTTGGGGTGAGCCGGTCTGTACAGAAGGCGGGTCGGGTTTCACAGGTGACAAACAGTGATTAACCTGTGGCAGCAGTCTGGTACGAATGGGTCACGCAGCCAATCATCCTGCAACAAACACAGGGTGCACTCTTGTGCGTGTGCTGTCATTATTGTTAAAGTCTATATTTTAGGCCAGAAGGTCCAGTCAGGTTGTTTTTTTTAACTGTGCAAAAGAAATAAAATTTAGTTTGTTAGACCAAAAGCAAATGGAGTGGTGTTTCCAATCTTGGCGTTTGGATCAATCAGGAGCCTGAGAAGTTGGGTTATTTAAAGCAGGGTCATCCACCAATCATGGTGAGCTCAAAGTATCCTTCTCGAGATGAACATATTTGAGAGGGAGTGGGGCTTAGAATTCCAACATCACAGAAATGAGTCACTCCCAACCATAAGACTTCGTGTTTGAGCAACATCCACGCAATTGTGTATTACTACATCAACGCGTTCTGATTCAACATGTCCATATCCTGGTCCTAACAGTAAAAAACAAATATCTTAACTTAAGAGGTTTGTATCATCAGCTTTTATCCTGATAAGCATGTATACGATGAATTAAAATTCGTATTTGTCCAATTCTGAATTACTTGTGCTCAACTCAACTAATTTAGGAGAAATTCAAAGACCTACATGAATAGTAATGACTTAGTCTTTGGTCGGAGATGTTCGATCTCCAGATGGTAAAGACAACGTCCTAATGTGTGTATATATTACTTGATGTGTCTTTAGCGATGACCCCGGCCTCGCAGGGGGATCCTGGATCTTTAAAAGCAACATAAAAAGCCACTGGAACCCTATTTACATACTTTAAAAAAAAACTCACGAGTCTGAGGAGTCTTCTCATTACCTTAACACGTTACCTTGACTTTTATCTTGTAGCATATGCTGCAAATGAAAGCGGACGGAAGCCTTGCCCTTAGGTGACGGCTACATCGGAGTTACAACAGGCCTATGATACCTCTGTTTGCTTTAGTCATGCAATTACGGCGCCGCTCCCTAACCGGGCGCACGCTCAGGGCTGTGGAGGAACGAAACGTTAATGATCTTTTAATGCTGGTTAAGGCTTTCCGCTTCATTCTGCCAACATGGTCCTGGACACGAGACGGTGGGCGACCTTTGACCCTCTTTAATTCAGCTAGCGGAGGTTAGCATTTCACAAACAAGCCAGGTTTCCAGGATGTTGGTTGAACCTGGTTAGTAAGATTCCTGGTCCTGTTCTCTGCCTGGTTGACCACTTTCTCAGGCCTGATAGTCTGCATGTCTGCAGTTTATGGTTGTTTACTTTCTCACTGGATTATCAAGGATGATCCGACTGGCTGTCGAACTACAAAGTTAAACACGGCACTGTTACCTGACGTCGTCTTATTACATTTCAAATGACACCTTGTGTATAGTATGTGACCGGAGGAGCCTCAGGTAGAGAAATCAATATTACAGACTACCAATAGTGCGTTAAAGAAATGCTGAAAGAAAATATTACTTGTTCAGAACTGAAACAGAACTCCAACAGTTTGTATTTTTGAAGCAAAGGATAATAGCGTATGATAATAGGAATGAGAAACTCTCAAACCATATAACAAATAGATGGATATAGATAGTTATTTTATTCATTCCAGAAGGGGAAATGTGTGTGTGTGTGTATATATATATATATGTGTGCACAATATATAAAAAATAAATAATAGTACATTAAATTAATAAACCTAAATATGTAATGTGTGAATCCAGTAACCACGGTAACGTATGTGTCAGAGACAGAAAAGTAGTTTAGAAAGCAGTGCATTGTGTCCTACTTTGTGTCTTTTGGCAGCCCCTCATTAAAAGTTAGCGAGGGTAGAAACCGCATGGCAACTATTCCCTCAACAACATCACAACACAAAATCCCTTTTCATCACGTTGCTACCTGTTCATTATTATTTATGCCTTATGCAGTCCAGGAGCTGTCTGCGCCAACAGTAATCAGAGGGCTCTGTGACACTAAACCAAGACTTGTGTAGAATGAATGAGTCACATGGTTCACATGAGGGGTTTGGTCACGTGGCAGTGGTAGAATGTAACAAAGTACATTTAAATACATTTCTTTATGAACCACATTTTCTTTTTTTTTATCAATAAATCAAATATTCTGGCAAAAAGAAGAAACATTTGGGCTGATGCAGAATTGTAAGAAATCCCACTTTCCTCCCGGTTCTCACTGTAAACCAGCAGCAGCAAACTCTCCCTATGGCTGATAGCTTCTATGCTAATGGTCAATCTATCTCAAATTGTCTCCACGTTGACGGACTACAGCATTGCTCTTGTGCAATCAGCCATTTTACTCGTAATACTTTTAGAATGTTTCATGATTCTCAGACCGCGGCACTTTAACGGTCCCGGAGCTAAAGCCTTTCCTCTGTGTGTGTCTGTAATACAACAGTGTGAACCCTGAACCAGAGACGGCAACATGGCATTTGATTTATTTCCCCCCCGCGTTAACGACAGGTGTGAAACTGTCACGCGAACGAGCGAGTTAGGTCAAACGGTTTCGAGCAGAGAGCGTTGGCACCACATGAAAAGGGCCGAGGGCAAGAAGTGCACCCTCGAGCCCCGCGTTGCAACGGCTGTTCTCACGAGGCACGTTTTCGCCCGCAGCCCCTCTCTCTCTCTCTCTCTCTCATCGGCGCTCCGAACACAAACGGCGCCTGGCTGCGAGCCAGTCCGAGGGCAGCGAGGAATCCGTCCCGGTCCTTCACACACCGGGGGCCGGCAAACGCAGGAGGAGCGCAAAAGGGCCCCGACTCACTGCAGAGCAAACACGCGGCGAGGGGGTGGAAAAAAAAGAGAGAGAGACGTCCCGGAGGGGCGGGTGACCTCGCAGACCGCCGCTGAGACGGTCACTGGGGTACTGGAGGCATTTTTCACCCCTTTGTTCCATTTTTTTCCCCCCCTTCTTCGCTGAAAAGGGAAGTGGTGTCGTAAATAACAGCGTAGCGTCCATTCACAGTGGGGCCCCATTGTGAGGGCCGTGAATGGGCCACATTATGAGGAGGAATAAATATAAGACGAAGAAGAATAGCTGCTGCCGCCGATTTTCCTGTGGCTGCAGAGGCCTCTCTTGTGATGGCCGAACGGCTTTTTACATTTACAAACACCTGTAGAAAACGCCTCGCTTGGGTCGCAGCTTTAAAGCTTTCACGGATCTCCTCCTCACAACATGAGCTGCCACCGGGTTTGAGCCTAAATTCCTTTTTTTTGTCTCGGAGCGAACGCAACGATTTTGACTTGTATCAGCTTGTTGTATTACAGGCACGCCAATATTGCAATGAGTGCTGATAATTCCAAAATAGTCTTCACAAGTTGCAGTGGAATTGTAACATATCAGAATTGACACTTTGCGAGGTCTCGCCACCGGTGGACGGGCCGGTCCCAGCGTGGCAACGACGCCTATCCGGCTGGGCTCCAGAGACGCGGCTGCAGTCAGTTCAGGAGGATTTAAATGGGGGTTAAACGTTGTGCAATAGCGACACACGTTACCCTGAGAATCGGGGAGGGAGATGGACTTGTTGTTGCGCTTCTTTGCAAAGCCTTGCGGAGCGAACGCGGGGAGAGCCGTCATCACGTCATCAGCTAGCCTCATCGCTTCTCTGCTACTAAGCACACTTTTGCTTTTCAATGACTGACAGAGTCCAACTTAATGTCACAGTTTTCTGTCTGAAATGACAGATTGGACACAGACATTTCCCCGTCCGCTCGGACCACAGAGAACACCAACGATGGACTGCACTTGTGTAGCGCTTATGTAGTTCTGCTCAAAGTGATCATTCACTTTGTCACACACACTGATGACGGTGTGTGTGACAGCTACCATGCACCGTCCCACCTGCCCATCAGCAACACACACACACACACACACGCAGTAGTCACAGGTACAGGAGCGATGTCGGGGTTTAAGGTTCCTGCCCAAGGACACGCGGGTGATCGAACCGCCAACCCTCTGACGGCAGGGCGACCGTGCTCTCACTCACACATCACCGTGTGGCAAACTGGCACAATATGGCTCCTTTAATCTGTTGAACAAATCAAGTTCACGTTCCACAATGACTCCAGACATTTGATGTTTTGAGTCAAAACAACTGGAGGAAAAACACTCGGTTTACCAAACATAAAAACATGGACTTGTGACGCAGGTTTTCACCTTGTTGTTTTCACCAATAAAAGCGCTTGGCGGCCTGCTGACTTGTGTCGGATGTAACCCTCGTTCAGCCGCTCCCGCCTTTACTCGACTATCACCATTTACAGAACGCGATATCACACGTGCATCGCGTTCGTCGGGCCGGGAACGAGCCGCGCTCTTCAAAACAAGCGCACACATGCATTCCGCGTTTCAGGCATGTTAACGCTTTCCCTTTCATTTAGCGACCTTGAACTTTCCCCTCGCACCTTTTCTGATAAAGATCACACCTCTTGCGTGTGACTGTTACATTGCAAAGAATACGAAAGAATTCAAACCTCTTGAAGGTGTCGTCGGGGTCTCTCTGACAGGCGGCTGGCTCCAAACAAGAGGTCATGGGAGGGCTGCTGAGGATCTCTTTGTACGCGGGATGGAGGAGAGGCGAGGCCCTCAGCTGCTCCACCAGGCCCAGGACGAACCTCCACAGCGAAGAACTCCTCTGGTCCTCCCGCTGGCAGAAGTGGAAGGCCAGGCAGCGCGGCGCCAGCCCCGCCGCCAGCCCTCCCTTGGAGGTGGGCCATACCACCTCTGCGCACAAGGCGCTCTTCCCGGCCCCGGGGCCCCCCGTCACCAGCAGCCCCGGGGGCTGCCCCGGCACCGAGCGGCTGTCCAGGCTGCGCCGCAGCTTGTCCAGGGCCCATTCCCGGCAGTAGAAACGCCGGCCCTGGAGCAAGCTGGGAAATCCGCCGCTACTCATTTGTTCCAGGGCGCCTGGACTCCGGGGGACGGCTCGCGGCTCGGCTCCCCGCATCCCATGCTCCTCCGGTGACCCCCCCCCCCCCGATCCTGACCCTTAGGCGCAGCTGCAGCAGGTGACGCCTCTGGTTTTGTGACAGCTCGTGGTGTTTCCTCACACAGAGGAACGGAGTTTCTGAAAGCGTTGCATCAGGCGATCATTACCGCTGGCTGTCCTCCCCCCTGCAGGCCTCAAGGCGTTATTCTGACAAGGAGACGAGTGCGGTAAAGGTTGAGTCAGCTAATGGCTCACCTCTTCAGCGGCTCGGTCCGTGGCTGTCAGCGCTCCGCCTTGCTCTCCGGGATTTCGTGGAGCTGCTCAATCACAAATCAGAGAGAGGGAAAAGCAGTGAGTCGAAAGAGGAACTGACAGCAGGTTTCTTTTACAGACACGACGCCGTGTCTCACCCCTCCTCTGATGATGGAGGCCGCCTCCATCTTTTTTTAACGAAAGCTACAGTCTTCCCTCCTCGCAGTTTCTATCTCGCTTCGCTTAAGAATTTGAGCATCGATCCTAAACTGCAACCGTGGCATGAAATTCGCTTTTCCTTCCTCGTGCCTTCAGCCCTTCTACAACTCGCACAACCTCCCTCTGTGTGTCTACCCGTCTCTGGTGCGCTCTGGTTTTTCCTGTTTGAGGTTTATTTGTCTCCTCCCTCCCCTGGTGTTTCTTGGTATGTCAGGACATGCACAGGAGGGAGAGAGAGAGAGAAGCCATGTGGCCACGAGCGAGCCCGCAGTGTGCAGGTGGGAGGGGTTACCTGAGGTCAAGGTTCAGCCACAGGGCAAGGCCAAACGGCAGCCGCCGGAAAATGGAATCGCCGAGTTCCACAAATGGCCATTGGAAACGTTCCATAATTGAGGGTGCTGGCTGCTAAAAGTCTGCAGGTCTTCGCTAATTTCAAGAGGCAGGGTTTGTTGTCAGGGATACCATAACTTAGAGCAAAGTATTAATGTTTTGTTTCATGAAAATCCCTTTTTAATCTTCTCATGCGCCAGTCGTCCCACCACTGTTCTTGACATTAATTTGATTTAATTCTGATCAATCTAAAGTATTAAATAAGACTCACTTGAAAGGTGGATATTCCAGCCTCTCAAATGTCAAAATCCATGTTGCTTCTTCAAGTCAAGTCAATTAAAAGCTTTTGTTATAATCCGCCCAAACTGACAAAAGCTCACTAAGCCACATTAATACCACTACGTCATTTTGTACTAAAAAGGAAAATAATGCAAGGTAAACAGAAATCTCGTTGAAAAGTTCCTTCCAAAATCAATCCCGATGTTGGAGAAATTAGTTACATGTTTAAGGAAGTCATTTTCTAATTTGATATGCTGTCACACCTTCCTCGCCACTGTTTAATTAGCTGTGAGCAATTTCTAGCATTAGGTAATGTCTGTCAACACCATTTCCAACAGCATACTTTTTGTTAAAGTGGAGGAAAGATAAAATAAACCTTTGAAGATCACGGGAATGGTAAAGACTAAAATAGTGCTCTGCATTCAAACTCAATGACCCGCTGAACGGAATCTGTCCGGTTTAAACGGTAATTTCACACTTGACGGAAGTGAGCAGAAACAAAGCCTCAGTGTAATCAGTAGCCTGGTGACGACGGGAGTCAGAGAGACACTCGGGGCACTAAAGACGACGCCGAGCCGTCGAGTCGTTCTTGGCATTACTTGTGGTATTTACAGAGCTCTCCGTACCGACGCAGTTAAAAGGCAATTTTAACAAACGAGTTCACTGGAAGAAAAACAGTTGACTTCTAAATGCTACTTTGTGTTTGTTTCCATTGAGTTTTTTTTTATTCTGCAGCAGGGCCCATGCACACATTAAACAGCCAATGAGAAAGCTCTATTCCATGAAGAAAAAGGCTTTCTGCAGGACACATCTAGATGGAAGAATGAGGTCTCTGTTACACTCCTCCACTATTTATGGAAACCCTGGCTTCTTGTTCACGACACATGACATTTATGAGAAAAGCTTAATAAAGAATGCCGACTGTAACCTGGTTACTTAACCGCATCTAAATTTGCCGAAGGATGTTGCTAAGCAACCAGTGAAGACAATGTACAAGTACTACCAAGAAGGATGGATACACTGTTTTCAATTAAGAAACGGTAACTGCCTAGAACGAGGACATGGGGGGTTTGATTGAGATTGATAGCACTCTCTTGTCTGTGGTGAGAATATGATGCTGGAGTCTGAAGCTGGTTAGCTTAGCTTAGCATAAACACTGAAAACGGGGGGGGGGCTAGCCCTAATGGAATTCATCCTCTAGTCCATCTAAAGCATTTCAATAAAATATGAACTATGCCTTATTCATCTCCAAGAGATGTTGCCCAAAGAGCGAGCTCGCTACCTGAACCTCGCGACCCCGCTGACCCTGTACCCCCCCCCCCCCCCCCCCCCCAGTGGGGGCCGGGTTTGGTTTTGGTCCCCTGAACGGGGCAGGGAAAAAAAAATTTAGGGGTTTTTTCCCTTCTAATATTTTTAACGGGGCCCCTCCACCGGTTGGCACCGAAAAAATATTATACTAAAGAGAAAAAGCCCCTCTTGATTGGCAGAGGTCTCTTGCCCCAAGCAGGTCAATGGGAAGAGGGTGTGGACCCAATGGCATCACGTGATGGGCCCCGAAGTAACGCAACGGTTTGACCACGATCTGAAACTCCTTCTTCCTGAGGACTTGAATTGATCCACACATCGAAACGCGCCATTGGGCGACAATAAGACATCAATGACTCTAATATTCGAGAGATTAAACACCGTATTCAATAATGTGTTCCACGTCAGCCAAATCGTAAATCAATACATGTATGTGCAAAGGAGTTTTTCACTATAGCGATAAACTGGGTCTTTTCCTGTTTCACATTTGCATTGAGCCCCGCGTATTAAGTATTAAGTTCCCTGTGATCCGTCTCTGCTCGGGCTCAACAGGTGCGTTCTTCCTCAACGATGAGATCACGCTCCCCCCCCCGGCTGTGACGTCACAAACAAACCCACCGTACAGCTGCGTGTCGGACCGACAGCCCGTTAATCACGCGCAAGTTGTCGACGCCGCTGTGAACAGAACAAACACGCACAAACACACGCGACGCAAAGAGTCCACCGTGGCCGCTCATCGGACCGCGCGGACGCGCTTTACCTCACACGCACGCGCCGCTCCGCCGGATTCTCGCCGCGCGTGTCCACGACCCTCCGCACCATCAGGTGGGAGGTGAAGCAGTGCGGAGGTCCTGCTTTAGTGCAGCGGTGTCCTTCTCCGTCTTCCTTCTCTCGTGGGGAGGCAGGGCGTCTCTCTCTCTCTCTCTCTCTCTCTCCCTCCCTCTCTCTCTCCCTCGCGCGCGCGCTGCTTCCGTGCGTTCTGTTAAAAAGGATGTTCTATCGACAGAGGAAGAACAAAAGTGAAAGGAGCCTCGCGGTCTCTCTCTCACTGACTACACGGGGTCTTGATTCTTGTCTTTAAACCTTCAAAAGTAGGAGGAGGTTTTAAAGTCAAAATGATGAAATACAGTAAAGTAGAAAAAATAGATGATCTTATCTAAGATTCGGTTTCAGTATCTTTTATTTTTACGTTGCAAATGTGATATAGTGATTTGATTTGTCCTCATGCGTAGTTAGTCGTATGTCAGAATGTATGAATATGAAATTGTGTCTAAATTCTAAATTCAAATTCAACTTAAAATAGTATTCTCTGCAGTTTTGACTGATGTATTTACTACACACTGTAATTAAAAATGTAACTGCTCAAAAAGATGTGAATGCCTTTTGTACATAGTTTGGATAAAGGACTGTGACCAATTCGGTCTTTTGTGGGTGGTCCCAGTAAGACGCCCTGAGTTACTCCTAAATTGTTCTTCCAACAATTGCAGCAGAATGTCCTGCTGACTCCAAGGAATTTTTTCCTTTTTTATATCCCAACTTGATAAACCGTGCTTCAAATTCTGCTTTGCATGGGAACTTTAAACCGTCTTACGATCACGACTGACCTCACAGTGAACTGAGAAATGACCTCTTCACCCGTCAGCCAATACTCCACATTCTGACATGCTCATACAAACACCAAAAATGTCTGCTCTGAAAATAAGGACTTTTGTCAACAGCATGCAAATTGCATGATGATGTCATGAGTGGAGCTCCTCTCTCATGATGATAATATGTGTCCAGCGTGGAGGTCAGTCAGTCCTCTCTGTTTACAGGGGAGCCCTCTACTGGCCTGAATAACAACAGACTTCGGTCAAAGCTGTTGAGTTGAAGTTGGGTCACATTTCTTTTTCATTAACTTTCACAGAATACAACGTTTAATAAAGAGTTTGAAGTTATACTTTGTTCAAATTTGTTGCTAAAAATGAATTTTGGTCTGAAAACAAAATTTACAGGCAAGTCAAAATCCAATATTTTTTTAGTGAATAGATTTTTTGCCCAAACACGTCATAATTACCTTCATCGTTCACTCAGACTGTCGGTATCGTCATTTCCTTTTGGTCCCAAAGAGATATTATCAAATCAAAGTCAATGATTGTTGCAGTTTTATCTTGCACACACACACTCTTAACACATTTCACCATATTAAAACCTAATTGCTCAAAAAATGATTGTTAATATAATGAAGTATTTCCTCAGTTTTGGTCCTCAGCAAATGATGTCCAGGTTAATGTAGGCCAATGACCCGTATAATTACTTTTATCAATCACATTCTGTAGGTATGCATGCAGCTTCATTTGTCTCCATAACTAAACTTGAGCTTTCTCCTCCTCCTCCTCTCTGCTGTAGTCTCATTGTGCTTCAAAACATTTTTCTTTGTAAGGCTGAATATTTTATGACTTTCAACAAAGGCTCTTTCCATCATCTCATCGGGGAGTGGAGGCGAAATGCAATACAATGATTTTCTTTCTTTTTTTTTGATGAATCCATTTATTCACATGGTTCACATAAATAACAGAACACCTGAATAATAACACTTAGTACATTACAACAACTTTACAGATGCAAAAGAAACTCACGCCTAAATCTTTCAAAGTGTGACACAACTCAGTTCACAACGGAACCTGATGCTGATCAAACAGCTGCCTGATTATTTTCTTTTGAGGGTTTTGAATAGATTATTTTGGTGAAAGGGAAGCTTTTTTTAACCTCAGTGATTCTGACTCACTCGCTTTCCTGGAGGCCGGTTTGAGCCGTGTGAGGTGCAGAGCATTCTGGGGCATGCCAAATATAATGTCATTGATTTCTCCTGCCATCCTACTTTTACAGGCCTCTCTGGTCTCTGCTGGACCAGACCACTGCCCCCCCCCCCCGGCCCTCTCTCAGGGATGTTATATGCATTCTTGCACTCAACCTGCAGATTTTAAACATAGTCTCTAATGCATCATTACACAGAAACAACCAGATATTCGCTTTGGAATCACTGTGACCTTGGTCCCCACTTTTATGATGACTTGCAACTTTACTTAACAGAAAATACACGACTGATCTCGAGCAAGACTTCAAACCCCTGAAGGGTTTCCTGACTTCACGGAGGTGTGCTGACTTTGGAAATGGGTCCAAATGAATGTGATTGTCAATATTAATGGGGTGAGGGTTTTAAGGCCCTAAAATCAGCGAGACCCACCATTACAGGCTCAGTCGATGAGCTTTCAGCCCGCAGGAGTAGATTTTTGATCAAGCTGACATTTTTTATGTATACGTGTGGAGTAATGTAATAATGGAGCCTTAGAATCAAGACATCTTGGGTTTGAACAGTTGACAGCTTGCATCCTTGAGTGCAAGGTAAGAGGGAAATAAGAATCCAAGCTGTTATTTTCTGTCTTCAGAATTTCAGTCGTATGCTTTTAAACTCTCAAACTATAATCTGGCGAAAGTGCTTTGAAACTTGACTGCTGTTCATGAATGGCATCTTACATCCAAAATGGTTCTGTTCTGCAATAAGGAATTACAGTCATTTTCGCAGCAGGAAGCCCACGCATCAGGAGAGTTGACGGAGAGCATTCAAACTCATTTTGACATTCTCTCTGGGGAGACATTTCTCATCACAAATGATAACATTTCAAATGTCATTTTTATGTTAGTCCCATATTTTTCCCAAGGATACATCCCGTCATGTGAAGGGTTTATGGGTAGGATTGATCTCGTGATATGTTTATAATGTGAATCGAGGCCTTTGCATCTTCATAATAAATCACTCTTAAACACATGTGGGAAGATGTCAGAGCATCAAGTGACCGCTTCCTTTCAAATCCCACCACGTCCTCTTTCACTGCATGACGTTTCAACAAGATTATTGTTATTAGAATATTCTTATTGTTAAATGTTGTGTCCTGTATTTCGTAACAAATGCCAGAATGAGCACAAGTTCTCTCTTTCCACCAGTAGAGGGAACAAGAGCTCCACTTGATGAGGCAGCCGGATTCCTCACCGGGGACGCGTCGGTCTGCAGTCTCTTGTTTTCTGTGCAGGTGTGACATCATCTTGTTCCGCTGAGGAGGAGAGTCGAGTAAACAACAATCAATGTAGATAGTGTCAGTTCTCCTTATATGACCTCTGACTGCCCCCCCTCCACGGACCAGAAACTTGCTTCTCTTTCTGGTGAATTGTGTCTCATTAACCAGAGCAACCAATATTTTCTCAT